GCAATTATTTTCTGCTAATCTCAAGCCCCCCTTTAGCCTAAGCAGATCCAAGTTTTGTGATGCTTGCAGCTTTCACAGTTTGAATCACCTTCTGAAGGAAAACAATAAAAGCGAATTAAAAAATTACTAATTTAAAAAAGCTGATGAATACTACAGATACCACAAAATCCAGAAAAGTAACATCATTCTATTATTCAGGTGCTCGGCACATCCCATAATACTTTTTCCCACCTTTCTTGACTATGCTGATTGCTTCTTCATATGAAAATGACCTGTTGTCCTGAATCCTTGATGAACTCATTTATTAGTTCTAACAATGTTGTAGTAAATTCTTTAGGGTTTTCTATATATAACAAGTTTGTGTATAGAAATTCTACATGTTTTAAACACATTCATCTTTACGGCTGTTGGAAAATTTTAAAATTGTATTTAAATGTATGTACTTTTTAAATGTAAAGAAGTAGAGTGACGACCAATAAAAGATTTTCTTTCTTGTTTTGGTGGGGGCAAGGAGGATGGGGTCTGGCTCTGTTGCCCAGGCTGGGGTGCAGTGGCACAATCTTAGTCACTGCAGCCTCTGCCTCCCCAGTTCAGGTGATCTTCCCAACTCAGTCTCTGGAGTAACTGGGACTACAGATGTGTACCACCATGCTCAGCTAATTTTTGTGTTTTTTTGTAGAAACGGGCTTCGTCACGTTGCCCAGGCTGGTCTCAAACTCCTAGGCTCAAGCGATCCTCCTGCCTCGGCCTCTGGAGTAGCTGGGACTACAGGCCACCAAGCCTGGCCAATATTTGGAAGACTAAAGAAATATTGGGATACAATTTCACAATATGGAATGGAAATATGAGTTCAAGAAGAAAAGAAATGATGTACAATTTCCTTCCATTAAAAGCTTGTTCACATAGTTTTAAAAATTGATGATGTTAGATGTTAAATTGGTATTTAGATTCCACTGGCTACATTTAAAAGTTACATAACTTTTATTTTAAAATGATAATTTACGATAAAACAGAAGTTGCTTCTTTTGTAACTATTTAAGTCAGATGAGAAATTGTGATGGTCAATCCAAAAATGTGGAAGTAAGAAAACAGTCACAGTCTTTGGGGATTCCTTTGGGGGTATAAGAGCAAATCATTTTGAAACCACTGTATTAATATATTCCTCTCTAATAGGTTTTGCTTTTTAGGACGACTGACTGCTACCTTTTTGAGATTTGAGGGAAGTACCAAATAAATGGCTCCCAGTTTTACATTTAAAAACCTCTTCCAGTCCAATAGTCCCCATCACTAATTAATTTTGATTAAATTAATCTGATTAATTCATCTGGAGTAAGTCACTGCAATCCTTAGGAGAGTCACTTAACTGGTCCTAAGGCCAGGCGCGGTGGCTCACGCCTGTAATCCCAGCACTTTGGGAAACCGAGGCAGGCGGATCACTTGAGGTCAGGAGTTCGAGACCAGCCTGGCTAACTTGTCGTCAAGCGTTCGAGACCAGCCTGGCCAAAATGGCGAAACCCTGTCTCTACTAAAAATACAAAAATTAGACAGGAGTGGTGGTGCACAGCTGTAATTCCAGTTTCTCTGGAGGCTGAGGCATGAGAATCACTTGAACTTGGGAAGCGGAGGTTGCAGTGAGCCGAGATCATGCCACTGCACTCCAGCCTGGGCAACAGAGTAAGACTGTCTCAAAACAAAACAAAAACACAACAACAACAAAACTGGTCCTAAATGCTCAGGGCAAGTACATACTGCTTTTTCTTTTTTCTGTTTTTTTCCTAAGGCAGGCCTATTGAAGAGTACAAGTCTGTCATCTACAATATTTTACTAACTTAAAAACACTTGTCAAGAAAGGTAGAGTATGTTCATTTTTATTTTACTCTTTGTATCCTGGAGTCAGGAACTAACAGTTTTATGATAGTGATATAGACTTTACACACACACCCAGACTAAAAACACGTGGTGCAGGCGGGCTTTTGGAAACTAACTGTGCTCTGGATACAGAAGTCACAAAGCTGAGGCTGCAGACGCATTGAGGGGACAATCAGCCTTTGTTGTCTCTCGCGCACTGTGCTCAGCGCTCCCTCTAGCGGCTACAAGCGCTCACTGCCCACACTCTCTTCTACCTCCGGAGGCCTCGGTTTCGCGGGGGAGAAAGAGATTGCGCAGGCGCGGAGCAGCCGACGTGGCCGCAGGGGACTGTGCCTGGGGGGGTCTGCGCGAAACCGCTGACTCGCGAGGTTCTCTGTCGCCTGCCGCCCTCGCTCCTTTTCTCCCCTTCTAGAGTGTTACGGTGACTCTTGGGTTCGAAGGGGACGGACGTCCTCCCACGTACCATTTAGAGGTCAGAGTGGGCAGAACCTAGGCTGAGCAGGCCGGCGACGAATCCGCTGACAAGACGCGCGCGTGGGCACTAACGTGACCTGGGCCGCGGCGGCGGCGGCGTGCTGCGGGCCCGGTGGCGGGAGCGAGGCCGACGGGCGGGGGGGCGCGGTCTCGTGACGCGCAGCGTCACGAGAGCGCGCGTCTGGGAACGTCTTAGTTGCCACGGCGAGCGCGCGCGCGAGAGGCCTTGGGAACCTGGGGACCGGTCCCCGGCGAGCGCAGCGGCGACCCGTGTGAGGGAGCGGGAGCTGGCCCGTGCCGCGGCGGCCGCGCGGGGAGATCTCGAGGCGACGCCGGGGCGCCCGAGGTCTGGAAGGCGCAGGTGGGGCGCGGGGGAGTTCACCCCTGCGCGGTCCCCTGGGTGGGCGGGGTGGGCGCCCCAGCCCCGGCGGACTCCGCTGGGAGGCTGAGCGGGCGACGGTCACGGGACAAGGGCGGAGGGGTTTGGGGCCTCCTGCGAGTCTCAGAGATGGAACTTTCGAGGAAGGGAGCGATTTCGAGAGAGAATAGTTTGAGAAGTTGTTCTCAGTCCCTTCCCTGGAACGTGGTATTTAGGGAACCTTCGGCCTCTAACCCGTGGACTGTTAGAGTGGAGGAAATCCTTCCCGCTCGCTTCCCGTCGCGGGGTCCTTTCGGAGCATCGCTATTGATCATTCTCGGGGCCCCAACCTCGTTGTTTACTTTGGCTTCGCAGATCTCTGTGGTCTTTTGCTCTCCCGCAGCGCCCACGGCCCCGTCAAGGTTCGGCAGCCTTTCTCTGCAAGAAGGCCCACGAACAACTGCAGTTGTGTTGGGATGGCTTGCGCGTGATTTTACTCTTTACAATACGTTCCTTCATGCTTCCTAGTGATTGAGCTGCGCGGAGGGTCCCTCCGGCTTAATTCTGGGCATGAGAAAAGTTTCTCTTGGAATGCGTAGTTTCGTGACGCGGCATTATTGCGTGACTGTGGGGCTGACCCAGTTTTCCACTTTCTAGTTGTAAAGAAGTGCACTAGTAGTCCACCGAGGATCCTCGAGGTTGGCCTTACTGTATTCTAATTTAACGAATTTGCGTTCCAGGTTGTTACTGCCTTTGAAATGATGGCCTCATCTTTAAGAATGTAGCAATTTTTCTTTGACATTTCCGAAAGTGGGGGAAAACGTAATAGAAGACCGCACCCATATGGAAGTATTTTCTGATTCTCAGTTCTTTATCATCGTAGCCTTCATTTCGTGGCTTTATTGGACCTGTTTGAAACAGGAAGCCTTTCTGTAATGTGGTTTCGGGTGGGCTTCACCTGTGGCACTCTCTGAACCGTCGTTGTCTGTAGTTTCCCTAACAAGCTGGAATGAGCGGGATGCTACGGAGGGAGGTGCATTCAGGTATTAGACAAGGCCCCCTCCGCTTTTTTGGTCAAGGACCAAGTAGGCATTCGATCAACTTCTGCTAGCTCCGGGGAGATAAATGCGGTATTATTAAAGACTGCTTGTAATGTTGACTGTTGAGAGTGAAGTGAGAGTGTTACTACTTTCAATGTTTATGGAATCGAACTAAATAGGTATTTTAATTCAGAATTTTACCTTTACTCTTGGGTATTTTTTAAGACATATACACACATACATATAGTTATGTTAAAATAAATGTGTTTTATTAGAACGTTAACAAATTAGAATTTAGGTGAATTACTGGTATCCAGGAACAGATTTTGGTTTGTTGTTGAAGACTATTACACTGGTGTAGGTACTGTTTAATACATCAGATTGTCGTTTCAAAGACTTTCTCTTCTTAACTTTGAAAATTAAAGAATGTGAAATCATGTGATAATGGTTTTTATCTTTTCAGGACCCTTGATTGACACGTAATTTTGCTTAGGAATGGAATAGGCTTTTTTAAAAGTCACCATCCTACAATCCTTATTTCTGTAAAATGTATTTTCTGAGACTGCTGAGGATATAGCAAATCCCAGTCCCAAAATAAAAATGTGATATTTTAATTTAAACCTTTTTCTTTCTGTGTTGAGATTCCCCAGAGATTAGACTGAAATTGACCTTTAGACTTATATAACCTCTGGATATCCAGGCTCTTCTCTCTGTGTAACCTTTTTTTCTCTTTAAGATGGAGATGCAGCAAGGGAGGTTATTAAGCAACCCTGTGGTATTAGCCCTCCCACTCCACCCTACACACAGACACACTCCTCTTTCTCAGTAGCCATCTTATTCTCTCCATTGACACATTGTTTAGGAAATCTTTCATCATACTGTATGTTAAATAAGCTTAGAAATAAAGGTATACCCAAGATAAATATTGCTTCTAGCTAAGTGCCTTTATTATGCCTCGCTTCTGCTTTCAAATGCTACCTACTGAAGATTTAAACCACATGACTTTCTACCATGGGACACTCTGGGTTTTCTTCACCCTTCCCTCACCCTGCTGACGTGTAAACATAGTAGGACTTTTAGATTTGGAATCAAACACATTTCATCTAATTTTCATTTTCATTTTTCTTTTCTTTTCTTTTCTTTTTTTAAAGAGACAAGGTCTTGCTCTGTCACCCAGGCTGGCTGGAGTGCTGTGGTGCGGTCATAACTCACTGCAGCCTTGAACTTCTGGGCCCAAGCTGTTCTCCGGCCTCAGCCTGTGCAGTAGCTGGGATTACAGGCGAGAGCTCATTTAATTTTCTTGACAGATAGTCTTCTGATCCATGAACTGATTTGAATCTATCATTTACTAACCCTGTTCTTGGGCAAGCTGCTCTATATTTGTAAAACATTTTAAAAATCAGATATCAACCTCTAAGAGTGAGAATTGGATAACCTTAGAAAAGTGCCAGACACATTTAGAGAGCCTAACAAAAGATAGCAAATTTTGGTGCTTCTAAAGGCCAGAGACAGACCATGTCCATTATATCTTTGCCATATATAATAGTAGTGAGTGATTTTTAAAGCAGTACTTTTAACTTGCTTGTGAGCCCCGAAATAATTTTTGTAAAACTGTCCCTCTTGCACACTTTTGGTTAACTTAGAGCATTTTACATCATGCGTTAGTTGAAAAGGATGCAATTTCCCACATGGGATTGATATTAACATTTTAATATGTTGGTACATCAATCTTTTAACTGTGTTCAGTGGAGTATCGTATCTTTGTAGTTTTATATCCATCACCATCAATTTTTAAAATACATTATATTTTACACACTTCCTTTTTGAAAAAATTTTACTTTTTTATCACCCCTACCCCACAGAATATTATCTTAAGATAATGTATTTTTATGCTTGAAAGCTTTTTATCAATCTCTGTGATACATGTCTTTAATAACAATGTTTATATAAATTGAAACTAAGTTTAAAAATTTCCTATAACTAATTTTGTAAGTTGTAATTTTTCTTTTGGGTTGAGTTATTATAAATAGTTGATCAGAATAGCATAAACACCTGATGGATTTTAATGAAGAATAATTATTAAAAGTAGAAGTTTACTGGAAATCTGTTTCTTAATGGAATGGATAGTGGGAGTTGTGCCTAAATTAAAGGAGGGTCTTTGAACCCTTTGACTTATTGTTTGTTGGTAGGAAGGCTTTTCCATCCTGGGGCAGTGTACCATAGTAAGAATAGGAGTGGGTGAGAAGTATTCCTTTGTTTCGTAAAGTGGAAGATTGTGAAAGGATTAAAACTAGCATGATAACTGAACAGTGGGCATATTCTCAGGCAGTTCAGTTTAGTGAGGAATACTCATGGGAGTAAAGGATCTGGAAGCCTTTTTCTTAAAATTACACATGTTGTTGGTGTATGCCCCATGGAAGACTTTATTTGTTCCCAGTTTGAAGACCATTTAGAGTGATAATTCTCAGCGGGCGACGATTTTGCTGCCCAAGGTACGTTTGGCAATGTCTGGAGACATTTTGGGTGGTCACAACTGGGATGGGGGAGGGGTGCTGCTATGGGCATCCAGTGGACAGAGATCGGGATGCTGCTAACAAAGAATTATCCAACCCAAAATGTCAACCATGCCAAGATTGAGAAACCCTGATTTAGAGGATTTGTTTAGGAATCAGACTATTTAATTCTGTCAACTAGTACAGGGTCAGTAAACTTTTTTTGTGAAGTGCCAGATAGTAAATATTTTAGGCTTTTGGGGCCATATATGAGCTCTGTTGCACATTCTTCTTTGTTTTCATAACCTTTAAAAAATGTAAAAGTAATTCTTAATTCCAGGGTCTTTCAGAAAACAGGTGATCTAAGGCAATTAATGCTTTCAAACTTCAATTTTCTTCTCTGGAAAGAAGTACTAATAGTAATATTGCTTCAAGAATTGTTTGTAAGAATTCAGATAAACACCTAGCATACTGTCCAGCATATGTTAAGTACTCTAAATGATGCATGGGGATAGTGGTGTCCTATTGTATGTAGCACAAAAGTGGGTGCCAAGTCACAGTGTTGTTCAAGACCCTGTTCAAGTCACTTGGACAAACTTAATGATGCTGGTGAAGTTCCCAATCAACTCACAGAAGCCTATTTAACCTCTGCTTTCTTTCTGCTGTTTTACTCTGGGCCTCCTTGTATCCTGAGGAAGATAAAGTACAAAATGCCTGTGGTTTCTTTGGAAAGGTGTGGCAGTCTTACGACACAACAGGATAGAATTCCAGGAGAAGAGATTGTTAATTTTGATAGGGGTTGTGGGGTAGAGCAAATAGCTGGGTCTGTATATGGTCAATTGTATATGGTATTTTCTAAATTCATTACTGAATATATTCTGTTGACTACCATGAAGTTGTTGCTTGATAAGGCCGACCAGTGGCTTTTCAGGTTAGAAAGTATAGTTATATTATTAATCGGAAGCTAGACCAATTTTAATGAATGCTTTCTGTGATGCTTCTGTGATGCTTTATGGTGTAGATTGCTGCTAAAATAGTTTCATATCACTGAAATTCTTCTATCATAAGTTTTCATGAGATCACAGGAAATTAATTGCTACATCTAATAACAGTAGCCACTAGGTACATGTGAATATTGAGCACTTGCAATGGGGTTAGTTGGAATTGAAATATCTTTTCAGTGTAAAACACATACTGAGTTTTGAAGACTCCATATCAAAAAAAGAAAGCTAAAATATTTAACTGAAAGTTTTTATATTAACTACATATTGAAATAATGTTTTTGATATATTTGGATAAATAAAATACTATCATTGAAATTAATTTCACCTGTTTTTTACCTTTTTAATGTGGTTATTAGAAAATTAAAAATTACATATGTGGCTTGCATTACAGTTCTGTTTGACATAGTTACTCTAAAGCTTCCATTTACTTTTTTTAATGTAATAGTAATTAAATTTTCTGTCATACACATAGATTTAAGAAAAATCTTACCCCTTCCTCCCAAAGTCAGCTTGTATCGTTTTTCTCACCCAATTCTTTTGGTCTTTTTGTACTCTAAACAGTGCGAATATATTGGTACTTTTTCAGTTTTAGGCATTGTCCATTAACTTCTCAGTGGGAAAGATGAAGTTTTATGTCTTTCATCCTTTGTCACATGCACATAAACTTTTTATCCATCCATCTTCCCATCTTTTCAATATGATTGTACCATAATTTTGTTTATATTCAGATTCATTGTATATATTATGACACCAATGAAAACTGAAACATTTAATACATTATGATTACTTTTTATTTCTTGCTCAACATCGTTTTCCCTAGAGTTAATCCTCAGTTTTTAATTAGTACTAATGAAACCCTGAATACTCTCACGGTTGTGTAGATCTTTTTTCAGAGCTTGCGATCACATTAAGTATTCTATCAGCTTTACTTTCTTAAAACATTCTTTTCTGTTGGCTCCTACTCCACCCTGGAATGTTTGCCTGATTGTTAGCTTGGAAGCTCATCATCAGTCTTGGGATTCCTTTCATAAAACATGGTACCCAGCAAACAGAGGATGTAATAACTGAGCAGTCACTAGGCTGGGTTTAGACGCTATTTTTACTCAGAATTATGAATTAAATATATAATTTCCTTCTTCTGTTTTGTTGCCTTTAAGAAGTTCCTAAGTTCCTTAGCACTTTTATGTCTCTTTTTTTTTTTTTGTATAAGTGTTTTAAAGATGATCCTTTTGAGCCTAGTGTTCTAAAATGTCATGGTATGTTTGTTGGTGTGAAATATTTTTTTCTTATTTATTTATTTATTTATTTATTTATTTTGAGACAGAGTCTCGCTCTGTTGCCCAGGCTGGAGTGCAGTGGCATAATCTCGGCTCACTGCAAGCTCCACCTCCCGGGTTCAAGCAATTCTCCTGTCTCAGCCTCCCGAGTAGCTGGGACTACAGGCCCCCGCCACCACGTCTGGCTAATTTTTTTGTATTTTTAGCAGAGACAGGGTTTCACCTTGTTAGCCAGGATGGTCTCGATCTCCTGACCTTGTGATCTGCCTACCTCGGTGTCTCCTTTTTTTTCCTTATTTTTTGCCCATTGGTTTTTTTATTTACTTTTATTTGTTAGGGACGAGGTCTTGCTCTTTCAACCCAGGCTGGAGTGCAGTGGTGTGATCATAGCTCACTGCAGCCTTGAATTCCTGCACTCAAGTGATCCTCCTACCTCAATTCCTGAGTAGCTGGGACTACAGGCACACACCAGCACATCTGACTAATTTTTTAATGTTTTCTTTGTAGAGGTGGTCTCATTATGTTGCCCAGGCTGATCTCAAACTCCTGGACTCAAGCAATCCGCCTGTCTCAGCCTCCTAAAGTGCTGGGATTATAGGTGTCAGCCACTGCCCCCAACCTTTTGGTCGTTTTAAATCAGGAAATTCATGTTTTCCAATTCTAGGAAATTCTATGAATTATTTGTTTAATTGTTTCATCCCTTATTTTTTTCTCTATTCTCTATTTCTGGGAGGTTTTTTTGTTTGTTTTTTTGTTTTTGTTTTTTGTTTTTGATGGAGTCACGCTCTGTCCAACAGGCTGGAGTGCAGTGGTGCGATCTCGGCTCACTGCAACCTCCACCTCCTGGGTTCAAGCAATTCTCTTGTCTCAGCTTCCTGAGTAGCTGGGACTATAGGTGCAGGCCATGATGCCCAGCTAATTCTTTTGTATTTGAGACGGGGTTTCACCATATTGGTCAGGCTGGTCTCCAGCTACTGACCTCAGGTGATCCGCCCGCCGCGGCCTCCCGTATTTCTAGAAGTTTTATTATTCAAATGATATGCTTTATAGACTGGGTCCTAATTTTCTTATTTATTCTTGCCTATTTTTCATCTCTGTCTTTTTGCTCTGCTTTCTGGGCATTTTCTATAATTGTATGATCTCATCCTTCTTGAGTTTTTCCTTTCTGCTTTTTAAATATTTAATTTCCCAGAGTTCATTTTGTCCCTTGAACATCCTTTTTTCAGTGTGCATGCGTCCCACTTTTTATTTTATGGATGTGATATTTTCTTTTTCTTTATGTTGATATAAATGATAGGGTTTTTTTTTGTAAGTTTTCCTTTTCTTGCACATTGTCCATTTCAACCAAATTACATTGCTCTTATTTTTATCTTTTATACTGGATGTTTGCCTCATGTTTTGTGATCCTGGGCTGTGTGTGTGTCTGTGTGAGTGTGTGCATGTGAGTGAACGAAGCGCTAGAAAGCTGATCTGAGATTCTGTGGGTAGAACCTATCAACTATGGCTTCTGAACGGTGAATTGCTTGGACAGTTTTCCTTTGGGAACTCTCACTATCACTATTCTTTGTGTCTTTCCTCTTGGTGGTGATCAGATTCCTCAAGAAGGTAACTTCCAATCTCCTTTCTTGAGGGGTACCTGGCAGCCGGAACTCCTAATTACCAAGTTGTGGGGAGGAAGGCTGTGGGTCTCAATAATCAATGTGTAACATTTCATTTAATCCCCCTGCTTTTGGTTTTTACCCTTAATCATGCCTGATAGTTTCTTATCCACACTTTATTTTACAGCCTTCTAGATCAAAGCACTCAGTCTTTCAGGGCTGTAGAGAAACAGTGTCCTGAGTGCTTGGTGTAGGAAAGATCTGAGGGTGCTAATTTGTAAACAGGCTTTCAACCAGTCCTCTTTTTTCAGCTGTACCTCTACTTCCTTTCCACTGGAAGATTGAATTCCATCAATTCTTATGCTTTTGGAGGTTTTTGATGTGATGTAAGTGCAGCTCCATCTCTGATTTTCCCACTGACAGTTTAAGGCATCTGTTTTCTCAAGTGTGTTTTGGAAGTTTTCACTTGTCCGCCTCCTTTTTTGACACCAAGTACCGTTGACTCTTCATCGTCCCTATTTGTCCTTGTGAGTTATGGCTTTATTGTTTATCTGTTTTGTTAAGGAATCGCATAAAATGCATCTAGTGCCCTGATCTTAAATTTTAGTTTAGTAATTTTTATGTATATCCCCCCCCCCACCCCTTATCCAAGGGAGATAAGTTGCAAGACCCCTAGTGGATGCCTGAAACCATGGATAGTGTGGAACCCCATTGCTTTCAATTGGAACATGTTTCTGTTCATATCTAAGCCGTTTCCATCTTAACTAATACACTTATCACATGCTTTGACCATAAGTTTTGCAGTTTGAGGGACAACAGCAAAACTAGCATAATTTCTTTTTACTCCTTCACAATTTCAGGAATAGAAAATATGTTCTTAATGGTAGATCTTAGCAACCTCAGCATATGATTTTTTTTCCTTGTTAAGTTGAAAACTAACCTCTTCACTTGAAGGAAGCACTTCACAGCTTCTCTTCAGTATATCCAAATTGCCAGCATCACTACTGTTGCACTTTGGGGCCATTATTAAGTAAAAAGAATTACTTGAATCCAACCACCACAATATTAGAACTGTTGATCTGATAACCAAGATGGCTACTGTATTATACCGTTTTCACACTGCTGTAAAGAACTGCCCAAGACTGGGTACTTTATAAAGAAAAGAGGTTTAATTGACTCACAGTTCTGCATGGCTGGGGAGGCCTCAGGAAACTTACAATCATGGCAGAAGGCGAAGGGGAAGCAAAGACTTTTCACATGACGGCAGGAAAGAGAGAGCTAGCAGAAGCTGGAAAAACTGCCTTATAAAACCATCAGATATGGTGCGAACTCACAATCATGAGACCAGCATGGGGTAAACTGCCCCCATGAGCCAATCATCTCCCACTGGGTCCCGCTCTTGACACCTGGGGATTATGGAGATTACAATTCAAGATGAGATCTGGGTTGGGACATCGCCAAACCATATCACCTACTAAGTGATCATGGGAGGGGAGCATAGACAGCATGGATGCCCTGGACAAAGAGGCGATTCATGCCTCAGGGAGCACAGAGAGAGACAACAAGAGATTTAATCATGATACTGAGAATGTGCAATTTAAAATTTATTAATTATTTATCTCTGTTATTTTCCACTTAATATTTTTAGATCATGATTGACTGCAGGTAACCAAAACCACAGAAAGTGAAACTGTAAATAAGGGGGGACTACTGTACACCCTTGTAGTCATCACTCAGATCAACAGAGAACATTTCCAAAGGCCATGAGATTCCCTCCTGTACCTGCGAAGTCATTAGCCTCTACCTATAAGCACTATTTTGATTTATTTCATATCATAGACAAGTTTTTCCCATTCTTTAATTCATATAGAATCACAGTATATGGTCTCAATATGATGTCTTCTGTATTTGGCTTTTGCTCAAAGAATTGGTGAAATTCATTGATGTTGCAGGCAATCAGGTTTAAAATTTTTTTCTGTGTATTATTGCATTGTATGAATGAGTAAGCATTTGGGTTGTTTTAAGGATTTGCCTTTTGTGAATATAGTTGCTGTGAATATTGCCATACATGTCTTTGGCATGCACATGCATCCATTTCTCTTGGTTATATACCTGCAAGTGGAATTGTTGGGTCATTGAGTGGGTGAATGTTTAGCTTTAGTAGAAACTACCAGTTTTCCAAAATGGTGTATCATTTTTCAGCTTTCACCATCAAGGTAGAAGAGTTACACTTAGCACTAATCAGTCTTTTAAATTTTAGCCATCTGTTAAGTATCTAGTTGGTGTCACTCGATTTTAGTTTCACTTTTCTGAGGGAATAGTATATTGAATACCTTTTCAGTTGCTTTTTAAAGATTTTCTTCTGTGAAGTACCTATTCATGTATTTTTCTCACTAAGAAAAAACATGGTTATTCCTTTTTCATAATCTTTCTAGAGTCATCTTAGTGGGATTTGGGGAAGCAACAGGGCTGTGTAGGGTAACCTGCCACCTTTAAGTGGAAATCAGGTAACGGAGTTTCTTTCAAATTTTTTTTTCTCATTTCTGTTTTCCCCAGTGTATGATTCAATTCATTTTTTATTGGCTGGATATAATCTGGATTTATATCGTAATGAATTTTAGAATGAGATTCTTGTTTCAACCATAATACAAAAATGTATTCATTTTTCAAAGAAAAATGAAAGCATAATTTGAAATATGTGTAAACTACATCATTTTGTTAATGTTTATGTGTCCAGTATATTATGATATGATATACATATGTATGATAGGAAACTATTATAAGAAACTGAAACAAGAAAATTATGTAATAGATGTATTCTGATTTATTCTCTTATGTTTTTAAATTAAGGTATTTTGGACCAAGAGTTTTCATTCATCCAGTCATCAAATACATATTAAGTGCTTTCTTTATGACAGACCTGATAGTAGGCTTAAAGGATAGTATAATAGTGGACAAAACAGAGATAAGCGAGGCACTTGTCCTCTTAAAATATATTCAGGTAGGAGATACAGATAATAAGTAAACAATAGCTAAGCAAGATAATTAAATATGTTTCCAATTTTGCAGAAATGGAGCAAGAGCCACAAAATGGAGAACCTGCTGAAATTAAGATCATCAGAGAAGCATATAAGAAGGCCTTTTTGTTTGTTAACAAAGGTCTAAATACAGATGAATTAGGTCAGAAGGAAGAAGCAAAGAACTACTATAAGCAAGGAATAGGACACCTGCTCAGAGGGATCAGCATTTCATCAACAGAGTCTGAACACACAGGCCCTGGGTGGGAATCTGCTAGACAAATGCAACAGAAAATGAAAGAAACACTACAGAATGTACGCACCAGGCTGGAAATTCTAGAGAAGGGTCTTGCAACTTCTCTACAGAATGATCTTCAGGAGGTGCCCAAGTTATATCCAGAATTTCCACCTAAAGACATGTGTGAAAAATTGCCAGAGCCTCAGTCTTTTAGTTCAGCTCCTCAGCATGCTGAAGTAGATGGAAACACCTCAACTCCAAGTGCAGGGGCAGTTGCTGCGCCTGCTTCTCTCTCTTTACCATCCCAAAGTTGTCCAGCAGAAGCTCCTCCTGCTTATACTCCTCAGGCTGCTGAAGGTCACTACACTGTATCCTATGGAACGGATTCTGGGGAGTTTTCATCAGTTGGAGAAGAGTTTTATAGGAATCATTCTCAGCCGCCGCCTCTTGAGACTTTAGGGCTAGATGCAGATGAATTGATTTTGATACCAAATGGAGTACAGATTTTTTTTGTAAATCCTGCAGGGGAGGTTAGTGCACCTTCGTATCCTGGGTACCTTCGAATTGTGAGGTTTTTGGATAATTCTCTTGATACGGTTCTAAACCGTCCTCCTGGGTTTCTTCAGGTAAGCCAAAGGAAAATGAAAGCATAATTTGAAAAACATGTAGACTTCATCATTTTTATTTGTTAATGTTTATGTGTCCAGTATAAGTGCAAAAAGATAACAATACATTCTTTGTTTTTAAATATATTCCATGAAATTATGAGCCTTAAAAATGTTTGTGTTTTATAGTCTTTTTTTTTTTTTAAAGATATATTAGTAGTTTTATTTTGGTATTAAGTTTGTGATGATAAAACTTGAGAAGAGTGGTCATCCTTAAACTTTTAATTCTTTATCTGAAGAAGAAACCTAATAAGTTTAATTTCAAAAGGGATTTATGTAATTCCTGTGGCTGTATAGCTGTAAATATTCACAAATGTTGTGAAGACTCAGCTGAGGGTCTGAACTGGGCAAGACCCAGCACATGGTCCAGAACAGTTGTTCTCAACCAGGGGTAATTCTGCCTCCCCAGAGAAAATTTGACAATGTCTGGAGGCATTTTTGGTTGTCATACTGGAGGTTGATTGCTACTAGCATAGTGGATAGAAGCCAGGGATGCTGCCACACATTTACACAGGACAGCCCTCATGAACAAAAAAAAATTATCCTGCCCAAAATCTCAACTATGCCAAGGTTGAGAGACCCTGGTTTAGAAGTAGAGTCTGTGGTGATAATTTAAGATGTAATTCCAACAGTCCAAGCAGAGAAATTTACCAGAATGCACTTGGTCCAAGAGTAAAGAGTGCTACATAAAGATTGATGTCAGGGCATTACTGTGGATTTAGTGAGGTATTCTGAAGATAGTGGTCCAGTGACAATCTCGTTTTAAAAGATTGGATGTAGGTATAGGAAGATGAGTTCTTGAAATGAGGGCTCAGTGTACGTTGAGTATAACAAAGGAGTTTGCATTGAAGAAAGATCACTTTTTAAGCAAAGCAAGTGTTTTGTCCACAGTCCAAATAATGTGGTTTAGTAATAGCATAGGCTATCTCTAATCATTTTCTCTTTTGGTATACTCTCCTGTTGATTCTTATGTAGTTTTTATATGGAGTCAACTTGAAAGTTGTTTAAAGACAATTTGAGGCTTACTAGGGATGTGTGAGGGAGATACTTTGAGGGCATTATTGAAAGGAAATATTTGATACCGGGCAGGAAGGATATTGTGACTCCTGTAGATTATTTTAGGGAAGGAGCCTTAAGGTTAAAAGGAGTAGGCTTATTGGCTGGGGTTTGTGGTGGGGGATGATAAAAGCTGTAACAATTTCTACTAATAGTGTTGCACTGTAACAATGGAATTAAAAAATCTTTGGGTCCTTAGCAACTGGAGATGGGGTAGTGAATGGCAGAAATACTGTACCATGGTTACATTCACTCATCCATTGAAATGACTTGTACTTTAATACAGATTTGTCCTTAGTGCTTTTAATTTTGTTTTTAAACTTTCTCATATGTGTATTTTTTTGTCCTAAATGAAAAGTAAAATTGCTCCCAAAGTTTAATTTGAGTCTCTTTAACAGGTTCTCATTTGCTTGTATTCAGGTATTTGTAGCAGAGTGTCCTTAAAAGAGTTAACATATGTGTTTTCTGAATGTTTTTATCAAAAAAAAAATACAATAATAAACCAACTAAATACTAGAAGTTAGATGTTTCCTATACTAAAAATCACTGTTAAAATCACTATTGGTCTAAATAGGAAATTAAGATTTTTTGGTTTTAGGTAGACAGAATTCTAGAACTTCAAAAAAAGATTTTTCTTTTGGTTTTAGTTTTAATACCACATACTTTTTAAACTTGTTAAATCTATAGTTACAGAAATTGGACATGAAATTGCCCTCTGAAAATGAAACTGGGAAAAATCAGCCTATGGTGGATGAACTCACTCATCTGTAATATCCTGTCCTAAGAAAGGTCTATAAAGTGTTGGTATTTTAAAGACAATTTGGTGATATTCCAGTTCAATTAAGGTGACCAGGATATAGTTAATCTGGAAGAAACCATGGAATAGTAAAAAAAACAAAAACAAAAAAACCTTTCCTAAGTTTTATTTTAGAATAACTTTTACAATCTTTATTGTCAACTCCATACCACTACTATTACTTGCTTTATATTTTTACTAAATTGTCCCACTTGTCAGTTATATCTTAATAACTGAAATTAAGGGAAATGTATATTTCTTCTCATACGTATTAAAATATATAACTACTCAAGTGTTAAAAGTTTGTGGGTAAGACTGTTTTGATGTTGAGCACAGTTGTATTTTGGTTACTCAAATAATGTTTTGCATTAGAAATAAATTAGGCAGCCAGGATGTGAGCTTAAGTCTGTGTGTGTACTGGCAAGCTGACCTTCCCAGATGACACTGCAGGAGAGCTTTTGTTATTTTGCTTTTTATTTCACAATAGATAGACAATCCGTAAACATTAATTTAATCTATTCTGCTATGTCAGGTTCTCTTGGATTTAGTACAAAAAATTATTCCACGTTGTGAGTGCTGAGTTTCTTATTTATTTTTAATTTGAGTCAGAGTTTTGCTCTGTTGCCTAGGCTGGAGTGCAATGGCACAATCTTGGCTCACTGCAACTTCCACCTCCCGGGTTCAGGTGATTCTCCTGCTTCAGCCTCCTAAGGAGCTGGAGCTAGGATTACAGGCATGCACTAGCACACCCAGCTAATTTTTGTATTTTTAGTAGAGACAGGTTTCACCATATTGGCCAGGCTGGTCTTGAACTCCTGACCTCAAATGATCCCCCTGCTCCCCATTGGCCTCACAGCGTGTTGGGATTATAGGTGTGAGCCACTGTGCCCGGCCTGTGAGTGCTGGGTTTCTGATTAAAATAATTGTTCAGCTTCTCTGCTCCAGACTACATGTGTTAAAATCCAAGCTCCACTTTTCAGTTGTTGGTTCTGAGCAACTTAATTGACCTCTCTGTGCCTCAATTTTCTTGTATATAAAATGACAATAATAGTAACTGATTTCATAGGATTGTTAGGAACATTAAATCAGTAAATACTATTATTTCAGTAAGTATTTCAAGTAAATAATACCTGAAAATAGTTTATGTACCACAAAAGGAATATCTATTTCAATAACGAAGAAAACCTTAATTTACTTTGATTATTATTTATTTAAAGTTAGAGTCATTATTGGTTAACGCTGGGCTAGTTAAGGCCATGAGCTTTGAGATTGTATGATTAGTGGAGCCATGGCATATTTAGCACAGTCCTTACTGCAGGAAGATCAGACTAGCAAATGATTAATTTTCTTGGGGATTTGTTGATGTTGATGGTTCTATAAAGCCTTTTAAAATATGTTTCCAACTTTGAAGTGTTTATTTTCTAGTATAACAATTTTATTAAAACGTAAGTGAAAATCTAGTTTCATTCATTTATATGTGTATATATTTTTTCTTCTAATGAATCCTTTCAGGTTTGTGACTGGTTGTATCCTCTAGTTCCTGATAGATCTCCAGTTCTGAAATGTACTGCAGGAGCCTACATGTTTCCTGATACAATGCTGCAAGCAGCAGGATGCTTTGTGGGGGTCGTCCTGTCCTCTGAGTTACCAGAGGATGATAGAGAGCTCTTTGAGGATCTATTAAGGCAAATGTCTGACCTTCGGCTCCAGGTAACTTGTGTGATTATCTTTAGGGTGAAAAAAATCTACTTTAACGTAAGCTCTTCAGCTTTTAGAGAAATTGTAATAACCTCTACTGTGATCAAGGTTAGGAGACTAACAGTTTATCATTTGTTTGTGTGTTCACAGCTACATGCTTGGAATTTGCTGTAATAGTGGTTAAGATTGTGAGCTCTACAGTCGAATTGCCTGTATATGAATTCAAGCTCTTCCACTTAATAGCCGTTTAGCTCAGCTGTTACTAATCTTCTCTATACTTTACTTTACTTATAAAATGGGGATAATAACAGTGTCCACCTCATTGGGCTGTGGTGAAAATTAAAAATTAATACATTAAGCACTTGTATCAGAACACGTAGTGATGCTCTGTGAATGTTAGCTATTGTTTTCACCACTGTTTTACTGCTCAGCTGGAAAAGTGTACTAATGGGTCTAAATGGTGACATGAAGATAATTTTGGCTTTAGTAGATAGGTTATGTTGGACATTTTAAGGGGTATGGTTGGCATTCTGAGGAAGAAACAGGCTTTGGTTGAGATAATTTTCTTTGTTCTTGTGGTAAATGAAGGTCAAATAAAAAAATAAAAAGAAAATACGATTTAAAATATGATCATCCTGAAACGTTCCTTATTTGGCATGTTTCCTCTGCCCACATGTGTACCTGTGGAAACAGAGTATTTCTGTTTAACAGGGGGCTTGAATAGAGTATTATGGAGAGACTTTCTTTATATATTGTTGTAGCAAGAGGGAAAAAGTATTTTTGATTATGAATATTGACAGTCATCTGGGGTGGACTGAGGTGGGCGTTATGATAGTATAATCTTTTATTCTCTCCTTCAGTCAGCAGATATTTGGAATTCATTATTTAACCAGTTACTGTGTTAAGTGGTGGGATGGGCAAATTGTGAGAACAAGAGACCACAAAGGGGTGTGTGTGTGTGTGTGTGTGTGTGTGTGTGTGTGAGAAAATATAAAATCAGCCCCTGTTGACCTGAGAATGACCTACCTGGTGGTCAGCAAATCAATACTTTAGCGTAGCAGCAATTATTTAACAAAATACATGATCAGCATACAGAAGTGTGTAGCCTCATTGTACTTGTGAGGAGGAATTCACAAAGGCAGGAGTATGATCAAACGAAGCAGTTCATCTTCACTTCACTGTTTACTGACTGAGTGAAATGATGCTCTTAAGTATTCAGACCTAATGTGGAATTATTTCTCCCTTCACCCCTATATTAACTGAACCTGTATTACTGGACTTTAGGAAAAAAACTAAGCAGACTTTTAGATTGTATGTTTATTTTATCTCTTCAATTTTATTTTTTGGTTGTATGTTATTTTTAGCTTGCTTTACTGTCCCAGAACTTCAACTGTAAACATAAGCTAGTTACTAGCTATAATTTTGACTGGTTTTTACTCTTAAGCATTCATTCAGCAAAGTGTATACTGTGCAGAAAATTAAAAAATAAACCTTCCAGTAATGCATAATGAAGTGGACATGAGTTTTGTTAATTGCCTTTAAATTCATTTTGTCTTGTATATTGTATATGTTACCTAAAATCTATTCATTAATTAAATTTAAATGTAGCTGCATCTGATTCAAAGATAACTTATGCCAACAACTGCTATTAAGTTGTCTTTTATACTTTGTCTTTTGAAACTTGCTTAAGCATATGCTATGAACCAAAGATCTCAGAGATTTGGGGTTTGGTGATAAGAAAAAAGAGAAGCATAGAGAAAAAAGCAAAAGCAGTTGTTACTTATAGACTGCCAAACTGACATTCAAACAAGTATGTCACTTGAGCATGGTGTAATATAGCTGGCAGAAAGTCATCTAAGAAAAATTCTGATTAGGGCTAGGCTTAAACTTTTATTCTCTAGGCCAACTGGAACAGAGCAGAAGAAGAAAATGAATTCCAAATCCCTGGAAGAACTAGACCCTCCTCTGACCAACTAAAAGAAGCCTCGGGCACTGATGTGAAACAGTTGGACCAAGGCAATAAGGATGTACGTCATAAAGGAAAACGTGGAAAAAGGGTAAATAAAAGAATAATAAGTGTGTGTTGTCTTCTAATGGTACTTTTCTCCAGTTTCATATATTTTTATGATCATAGTCCCATATACTAAAGCAAAGCAACTTATGCATAGTCAACAAAGTGATCACCAGCAAAAACAATTAGAATCAGTTGTAATATTTCCTTTTTAAAGTGTATGTTACTTAAACTATTTTAAAAGATACTCTGTGTTTGGGGGATAGATTTTTTTCCCCAACTGTTTGAGAGATTTTATTTTTTTTGAGACAGGATCCTGCTTTGTCACCCAGGCTGGAGTGCAGTGGTGCAAACATGGCTCACTGCAGCCTTGACCTCCCGGACTCATGTAATCCTCCCACCTCAGCCGCCTCAAGTAGCCAACATTACAGACATGAGCTACCACACCTGACCGAAATATTTTTATGAATGCATTCATGATGCACATACTTTCTTATTTGTTTTGTGTTATTCTCTGCCTTCCTATGTTCACCAAGAGCTTGGGGGCTACATATGCTTCTATTTTTTTCTTACACTCTGCCATTTTTATTTCCTGTTTTTTTATGGATGGGCAACAGGACAGAGATTTGATTTTTAAAAATATATTGAGTGGTTTCTTCTTTCATTTCATAGGCTCTGAGTATGTAATATATTTTAACTGGTAAATTTGGATTAGAGTTCAGGAAGTATTTATTGAGTGCTAGAATGTTAGGCATACATAGTGGAAAAGGTTTAAATTTCTTGTCTCAATGAATTTACTGTCTAATGGAAAGGACAGATTAGCAAAGAGATCATTTCTATCCAAAGTGGCTATTAGACAGAAGATGCAGCCTAGCCTAACAGATAAGTGTGGGTGGATGAGTGGTATGGGAAGCAGTGAGGAGCCCCCTCCTACAGGACATTATGACTAAGATGAGTCTTGAAGGATAAAGAAGAGTTGGTCGTATGAATAGCAAATTTAAGGGGATTCTAAGCAGAAGTGGTAGTATAAGCAAGTATATGAATAAAACAGCATTGTCTTGAGTATCATATGACAAGCAGTTTAGTATTATTCATTGCTGTATTCCACATGGTAAATGCTCAATAATTATCTTTGGAATTGATGAATGTCATGTGAATATTCTATATTTATTTGCAAAGTGTCACTGTGGTTTATGTTGAACATCTTAGACCAGCTATATGAGGATATTGGGAGTCCAAAATGGTTCCAAGAAATATATTTTACTTAAAAATGTTGTTTTAAAGTTAATCAAAAGAAACCAAAGTTAAAGGGTACAAAAGAGTATATGGTGAAAAATAAGTCTGGGCCCTATTCCTGTCCACCAACCGCCTAGCTCCCCTGTCCAGACACATAATCTTCCCTCCTCTCCCCCATCCCCTGCAGATGGAATCTCACTCTGTCACTTAGGCTGAAGTACAGTGGTGTGATCTCAGCGCACTGCAACCTCCGCCTCCCAGGTTCAAGCAATTCTTGTGTCTCAACCTCCTGAGTAGCTGGGATTACAGGTGCCTGCAGCCATGCCCGGTTAATTTTTGTGTTTTTAGTAGAGATGGGGTTTCAGTTTCACCATGTTGGCCAGGCTAGTCTCATACTCCTGACCTCAGGTGATCCACCCACGTTGGCCTGCCAATGTGCTGGGATTTACAGGTGTGAGCCAGCATGCCTGGCCTCAGACACATAATTATTAACTTCTATTGTCCTTCTAGATATATTTTATGCATAGTTAAATACACATACACACACACGGACATATATAATATTTAACATAAAAGGTGGCATGTAAAACATAATGTTTTGCTCCTTTTTTACTTAATAGTATATTTGGAAATTCTTCCATATCATTTAGAACTTCATGTTTTAAATTTTAATTTCTTGTTCTAAAAAAATCAAATGATATTAAAAAGTATATGCAGTGAAAAGCTTTAGATTTTTACTTATGGGTGACTTTTATCCCATGTAGAAGTTGTTTTGTTTAATGTTGTTTTTATATTTTATGTGACATTCTTTGTATTACTGGCCACTTTGATTTTCAGGTTATTTTATTATATTAATATTATGAGGTCTGAGTTAGCCTGCGTCTTATTTCTTAGAATGAGTTCATTTAGCTTTGAGAGTTTGGGTGTTGGCCCAGGCTCTCATAACAGCTGTTCAGTTAGCAAAGTACAGATATTTCTGTGTTCTCCATTTCCTCTTAAATGGAATAGCAGATTATTCTATGTTTATATATTCCTTCTTGTTTCAAATTAGACATTTGTTTGCTCTGTCAAAACCAGTTTATGAATTCATCTTTGCTTACTGATTGAGTCATTTGACAAAACTCTTTTAATCTTACTGAGTATCATGTACACACTAATGTCTAGGGATGATATCCGTTTGAAGGAAATCAGTCTAGTCCAGAAAAAAAAAGTCAATATAAATGATTTGATAAATGCCATATTGAACTTGTTTTGGTATTTAAATCTTACCAGTCAAGATTTATATGGACCAGAACAGTTTTCAACTTCGTGGCAGTTCTGGTATTGTGCTTTATAAGACCATACTGGTAACTAGGTTGGCTGAAGATAGTTTTCATTAATTATATCTAGTATTTGTTGGCTTCATATTTGTTATATAATGCTTACAGTTTTCCCCCTCTTAGTACTAACTCTTCACATTTTGAAACATTTTTACTGTTTAGGCTAAAGATACTTCAAGTGAAGAAGTTAACCTGAGTCACATTGTACCATGTGAGCCAGTTCCAGAAGAAAAATCAAAAGAATTACCTGAATGGAGTGAGAAAGTGGCTCACAACATTTTGTCAGGTATTACAGTAATGTTAATTTTTTTCCCCCTGTATGACATTAAGCCTTTGGAACCAAATAAAGATATTGTTTATTAGGGAATACTGAGAAAGATAATATTTTGTATTTTGGTTTTAAATGATCAATTTAGAAATAAATGTAGAAGGCACTAGTCTTTTAAAACATCAGCTATTGTCATACAAGTATAAATTCTTCCTGGCCTATTATTCTGTTTTATTATTGGGAAAATGGATAGTGAAAAGCTTCAGGAATCTTCAAACTCTTAATAGTTCTGAATCTAAAATTAGTTACCTTCCTTTCCCCTTTGAAGCTCCCTCTTAACCTCCCCCAACCCCTGTCCCTCAGCTGTGGTCTGAATGTGTCCCTTCCAAATTCATATATTGAAATCCCAACCCCTGAGGTGATGGTTTTAGGAGGTGGGGCCTTTGGGAAGCAATTAGATCATGAGAGAGGAGCCCTCATCAATGGGATTAGTCTCTTATAAAAGAGATCCCAAAGAGCTGCCTTGTCGCTTTCATTATGTGAGGAAGCAGTAAGAAGGTGTCATTCTATGAACCAGGAAGTGGGCCCCTCCCCAGGGACCAAATCTACCAGCACCTTAGTCTTGTACTTCCCAGCCTCTAGAATTGTGAGAAATACATTTGTGTTGTTAATAAGCTACTAGTTTATGATATTTTGTTATGGCATCACAAATGGACTCAGATACCCACCCAAAACATGAGAACATGTTCATCTTTGGAAGCAAAGCAGCACTAACTGCACAGCCATGCAGACATGAGAACATCTCAGGGTTATAGCCAAGCTCTTTGAGAAGTAGTCTCTGCTGTTTAATTACGGTTATAAAGGGCTTCAGATCAATTATTCTGAAACCAGAATGATCATTAGTGGCATGTCTTTCTACTTTAGTTGGTTAACATTTCACGTAGCTTTTTAGGTGTAGTAACTCTCTGATTTATACCTTTTATTTTGTTTTTTAAAAATATTGCCAATCACCATTCAGTATGTCAAATTCATAACCCCATTAAATGGGTCTTAACTCATTTAAACGACTGTCAATTCAGATTTCCATGTCCACTAAAATCCATTTTAGAAGATGTCTAAACCAGAGGAAATCTTCAACATAAAAAACCAACAAGCTAAAATAATTAGCGAGCTAGGAACTAAAATACTTTTCCTAGTGCCAAAGAACTATGCTTGAGACAAGAAAAAAGATAAAGCCAAATTTTAAAATGTAATTGCAGTCATTAAAATTGACCCTTGAAAGAGATTCACAAAGACACTGCAATGAAAAACCTTTTCACTTTTACTGCCCTACCCCCCAACTTTGTAGACTGCTAAGCATTATTATTAGGAGGCCATTTTTCAGAAAACTTGCCTATTACCCCCACACACTAAATTCAAAGGTCATTTTACCAAGTTTTTGGAATTTATGCTGTTATAAGTTTGTTCCATTTACTATTGCTATGTAACAAACTGCCCCAAACCCAAAGGCACAAAACAACAAACATTTGTTTCTGTGGAATTCAGTGGGCCAGATATTTGGAAAGGTCACAGCAGGAGTGGCTTATATCTCTTTTATAGTATCTAAGGACTTCATCTAGGAAGACTCAAAGGCTAGCTAGTGACTTGACAATAAGCTGAAGACTGGAATCATTACTGACACCTCTGGCATCTAGGCTGGGAGAGGTCAAAGTCTAGGACTGCCAAACAGAGTGCCTGCACATGGCCTTTTGTGGCTGGACTTGCACCCAGCATGGTGGCCTTAGGCTAGTGTGGCTTCTCCATAGTGACTTGGGGCTTCAAATGTGAATCATCCAGCAAACAGACAGAAGCTGCCTTACCATTTCTGACATACTCTTGGAAATTTCCAGCATCATTTGGTTAAAAGCAAGCAACAAGCCAGCCCAGATGCAAGGAATGTGACATAGACCCCATTTCCCTCTGGGAAGAATGTCAAGATCTTGTGGAAGGATTAACATTCAGAATAGGAGACACTGTTTGTGGTCATCTTCAGAAATTACCAGCTGCCACTAAATCTCAGGCCTCCTAGGTACTATAGATACCACAGCATGGTGCTACCAGAAGCAGTACAGCCAGTTAATCCTGGGAAAAGGTCTCTCTGGAGATTTCAGAAGAACTTTCAGCAGTGCATAATTTTAAAACAAGCAAAAACTGTGCTCTGGTAACATGCAGAGGCCTTCTTTATTACTTAAGACCTCAGTTTCTTCATGCCAGTACCTCTTTTCCTTTTTATTCTATACCTTCAGGGCTGGGGTTCTAGTAATGTCCCTCATAGTTGGTGACTATAAACCATTTAACTGCCTATCAGAGTTTATGTCTCTTTATGAGCTTTTTAATACGTAGAACGAATAGTTCATCAAATGCTTACGGTACAAGTAAAACAAAGAGGGGGCAGAAAATTAATAAAGATTTACTCCCGGGAAAATTATCTGATCTATCAAGAGACTATTGTTACCTGACTCATTCAGTCTATGTACAAAATGAGTAACCAGGGATATAAATTGAGCTTATTCATCTTAGCCCATAATTGGTGCTTGTCTGCTGTCAAAGAATAAGTAAGGATCACTAAAAGCTAGTCTGAGGTTTTCCTAATATAAAAGGTGAAAAAAGTAAAACAACCGTGCTTAAAGTTTACCTGTATGGGCTTGGGAAACCTAGACTTACACCTTAAGAAGGCAGCGGCTGTGCAGTATCAATGGAGTAGAGCCTAGTAAACTATTTGGGAGGAGGCAGAGGGTTGCTGACAGTAGACTGATGGAGCTCACCTTTGGAGCAACCTATTTCTGGAACACTTTAGTGGTTGTGAGGTAGCAAAAGATCATCAAGGGTATTTGAATGTCCCCTCTAACTCCCTAATCTTTCCCAATGTAATTTACAGATGGACTCTGGAATGCTAGGCAAACAGTTGACATGGAATGAGAGGGAATGATCACTTTCTGCCTACCTATTCCAGCATATCATCCTAGGGCTGAGAGTGAGCAGAACGGAGGCAACTGTGATGCCTCCCTAAAGTTTCTCCAAGATTATGCTTTCTGCTACCATTTTGTGCTTCTAGGCCCTGGCAAAAACTTTTCCATTTTGGTTAATTCAGTCTGGTAAAGAATAGACAAACAAGTCCTCCTGTTCTTCAGTAGATTCCTTCTGGACTCCATTGACCTAGTACAGTCTTCCAGCTGTCAGATCCACAAAGACCTTTATTCTAGCATAAATTATATAGAATGAACAAAACGTCAAAGAGCAATCATATATTCAATTTATACTTTGATTGGTATAGGATGGTTAAGTGCTAAGACAAATCATTTCTAGGTTTTTAGAGGACTGCATCAAACATAAGATACATGTCATGTGATTGAGAATTCAGTAGTAGCCATGCGCTAGCCAACTTTCTGCCAGTTTTTCCCCCTCATGGCCAGAGATAAAGAATATCAAAAGCTGAAAATAAAAAGATCAGTGAATCGGTGTTTTAAGCTCATATTTCTTATGATAAAATTATTAAAACTTACCAGAAAAGTTGGGTTCTATATAATCTTAGGGTTCAGCTAGCTTTTTACCAGGAGAGAAAGTTGTGATTTGGGACTTCCGTGTTTTTGTGTTTTGTTTTGTTTTGTTTTTTGAGACAGAGTCTCATTCTGTTACCCAAGCTGGAGTGCAGTAATGCTATCTCGGCTCACTGCAAACTCCACCTCCAGGGTTCAAGTGATTCTCCTGCCTCAGCTTCCTGAGTAGCTGGGACTACACGTACGCACCACCACACCCAGCTCATTTTTATATTTTTAGTAGAGACAAGGTTTCGCCATATTGGCCAGGCTGGTTTCAAACTCCTGACCTCAGGTGATCTGCCCAACTTGGCCTTCCAAAGTGCTGAGATTATAGGCGTGAGCCACTGCACCTGGCCAGGGACTTCTGTTTTTAATAACAACTGTAAATGGTAGCTTTCTTTAGTTCAGTAAAAGTGGATAGTGTCCCACAAGCTGTAGTAGTTAGGTTTGAGTTAGATAATTTTAACATCTGCCAGTGTCTCATTTATTCAGCAGACGTTCATGGTCTGTCATGTGGCTGCATTAATTCAGTGCATAGGATGCAAATGTGAACAGAATCAATCTATATCTGGCATTGTACATGTCATTTAAAGTATCTACATAGCTACCAATGAAATATTGCATTTCCTTATCTTCTGTTGCAGTGTTCATAGTTTTAACATATTTATGTATACTGTATACTTCCATGGTGATATGTTATTGATTATTTGCATCTAGTATTTCTCTTTATTAGTGCTGTGACTTTTTATCTCATTTCCATTTATTTTTCTCAGTCATCATTTGACTTCATCTCTATTATTTCTTATAGTTTCATTATAGGATTGTAGTATCCTTCGTTTCATTGTCATTTATTTTACGATTTCTCAGTGTTCATGTTCAGCTGGTTTCTTCTTAACACTTTTCAACCTATAAGTTAATCTAGAAAGATAATTTTTTTAAATGGACATCTTCAAGCCTTTTATTGTTTATGGAAGCCTGTTTGCTTGGGTTTGAATCCTGCACTTCCCCAGAAATTGATTGTCAGGTAGGACAGTGGGGGTAGGATTGGAGCTGGAGGTGGAGATGTTGACTAAAACAGGAAGAGAAACATAAAATTTCTAATTATTTATTACGTGTCACTTTTCATTGTTAACATTTTAAAATAAACTGTTATGGTTTTCACATGATTGCTGGATGCTTATTCATGGGCTGGAGTGATGTAAAACCATACCACAGACGTTGAGAGAATATAATTAAGTACTTCATATGTTCAACTTTGAAAGCACATTGTTAAGTGTTCGCCAAAAAAAGAAATATTTTAAATTGAAAGTCTCTGCAGAGTAGGGTAATACTTCTTCCATCTTAGGGGACACCGTTCTTGTGTGTTTTTTCTTTACGCATCGCTCTCCCACTCCTCCTTTCCCCACATTTCCACTGGCTGAGGACCTTTTGTCCTCACTAGAGAAGGCCCTTCCATCACTCTGTTCCTCTGGTGAGCAGTTCTGTCATTCAAGCTGCGAGAACATAAGCAAAGCAAAGGGCTAGGACCCACTGTCATGAGAAATGGCTAAATTATCTAGGCCTCTCTCTTCTTTTAGATTTTCTCTTCTCATGCATTTGGGTGTTCTCATGTTTTTGTCGTTCAGGTATATGTAGCAAGCTAAACAGTACTGAGATCCAAGAGTTTGGGTTTAGGATTCAGGAAGGAACAGGATCCCCTGACTAAAGCTTTTAGCCTAAAGAAAGTAAGAGTTCTGCCTTGGTGTTTGAGAGGCAGTTTCTTTGGTTTACATTTTGTGATAGTTCTTTCTCCCTCAGGATTTCATGGGGAAACCTGGTGCCTGGCCTAAGGCAAAAAGAACAAGAATATCTGGGTTCTTTAGCCAAATTCTATGTTAATGGCACCAAAACTAAAAATTAATACCTAACAGTGATATACTGTGGTAAGTAACATATAGAGATACCTGCAAGTTGCAGTGGCAGCATAGAGTAACGCAGAACTCTTGTCACTGAGTGACATATGACCTAAGTATTCAGGAAGAAAACTGTAGGTATAAAGTTAGCTTGAAAGTTTATGACATGGCACATTTAGCTTCTGAATATCAAACTCCTTTTATTTTTTTCTGGTTGATGTTATTTATTAAAGTGTTTAAAAGTATAATTAGCCCTAATATTGTACAGTTTTAAATTTTCTTTTAAAAAGGTGCTTCCTGGGTGAGTTGGGGTTTAATCAAAGGTGCTGAGTTTACTGGCAAAGCAATTCAGAAAGGTGCTTCTAAACTCCGAGAGCGGATTCAACCAGAAGAAAAACCTGTGGAAGTTAGTCCAGCTGTCACCAAGGGACTTTATATAGCGAAGCAAGCTACAGGAGGAGCAGCAAAAGTCAGTCAGTTCCTGGGTAAAGTAATTCTAGATAACCTTACCTCTTTAAAGTTATATTTAAAATAATGTCTTAATCCAGGGTTAATCTGCATGTTCATTTAGATGGTTTAATCTCAAGAATAAAGAATTAGGACAAAGCAGTTTCTCTTCGTTATTCATAGTGAGACCTGTGGACCAGCAACATCACATCGGCCTGTCTGGAATCCTTAGAAATGCAGAATTTTAGGCACAGACACACCTACTGATTCAGAATCTGCATTTTCACAAGATCCCTAGGTGATTCTCATTTGCACGTTAAAGTTTGAGAAACTGGTTGAAGGGTTGTTTTGATGTGTTGACGAGGAGAATGTGTGTATCTTTGAAAAAGAGTTCTGAATGTAAAGTCATGTATTATTTAACGAGGGGAGTAAGTTCTAAGAAATCTGTCATTAGGTGATTTCATCATTGTGTGACCATCATAGCATGTACTCACACAAACCTAAACATTATTGCCACTCCACACCTAGGCTGTATGATATAGCCTATTGCTCCTAAGCTACAAACCTATGCACCATGTGACTGTACTGAATACTATAGGAAATTGTAACACAATGGTATTTGTGTGTTTAAACACATCTAAACATAGAAAAGGTACAGTAGGAGTGCAGTATATAAAAGATAAAAAATGGCATAAAACCTGTAGAGAGCACTTACCAGAAATGTCACTTGCAGGACTGGAAATTGCCCTGAGTGACGCAGTGAGTGAGTGGTGAGTGAATGTGAAGGCCTAGGACATTGCTATACACTATTGCCGACTTTATAACACTGTATACTTGGGCCACACTAAATTTATTTTAAAAACAAAGTAATTGAACTATGATGTTATGGTGGCTGTGATGTTACTAGGCAGTGGGACTTAATCAGCTCCATTATAATCTTATGGGACCCTGAAATGTCTGAAATGACCAAAACATCATTATGCAGCATGACTGGATGTGAATCCTTGAATCCTTCCAAGGGATATGACACATTCTTTCAAGGAGAGTCGTTTACTGCTTAGTAGTTGAGGGTCAAGAGGAAGGGATCTGTTGTTTGAGAAAAGCTGACTTAATGATTCTGGTGCCAGCCTTCCCAAGCAATATACTTCTAACTCCTTGCTTTTAGAGAATCACAGCACTGAAATTTGGTGTTTTGAGATGGGCAGATAGAACCTTAATGGATTACCATTAAATTTAGCAAAATGATCTTTTTTGGTATTTAGTATTTTTTGAATCAGATTTTGGATTGTTTACTTTTATAGAATTAAACATTTTACTGTTATTTCACTGAGATAACTGAGATTTTTATCAATAGAAAAATATGAATACACTAAGCTGGAATAATCTAGAAGTACCAACCAATCTTGCATTGCAACAGTCAGATAGAAAAGGTGGCTGGTTTTCTCAAGCAGAAGTGCAAGAACATGTATATCTGAGAGGCAAGGTTATAAACATCAGTAGGCTCTGCGAGCACAGCTTTAAAGCAAACAAAAGCCTTAATTTAAAAAATAGCCAGTCTGTGCTGCATACCTGTAGTCCCAGCTACTCAGGAGGCAGAGGCAGGAGGATCACTTGAGCCCAGGAGTACAAGTCAAGGCCAGCCTGGGCAACATAGTGAGACCTCCTCTCTAAGCTTCATATCCTTAAGTAGAAATTGTAACATTATATAGTAAAACAATTTTAGAGGCTCATTTAAGAATGTTGCAAGATGACTGGTAAAAATCAAGGGAATAATATATATTTCCTAAGTTTTCTTTTTTTTATTGGTCATATTAGTTGATGGAGTTTGCACTGTAGCGAATTGCGTTGGAAAAGAACTAGCTCCACATGTCAAGAAGCATGGAAGCAAACTAGTTCCAGAATCTCTTAAAAAAGACAAAGATGGGAAATCTCCTCTGGATGGTGCCATGGTTGTAGCAGCAAGTAGTGTTCAAGGTAACAAAGGGGCCCAAAATTTTAACTAGGAAGCTCTATTTGCTTTAGACTAGATTTACATACTTTTAAATATTATTTTTACAGGATTTTCAACTGTTTGGCAAGGATTGGAATGTGCAGCTAAATGCATTGTTAACAATGTTTCAGCAGAAACTGTACAAACTGTCAGATATAAGTAAGTTGAATTTTATTTTAATGACTATATCTCTGTTTTGTTGTTACTGTTGTTGTTTTTCTGAGAGGGAGTTTCTCTTGTTGCCCAAGCTGGAGGCGCGATCTCGGCTTACTGCAACTTCTACCTCCCAGGTTCAGGCAATTCTGTCTCAGCCTCCCAAGTAGCTGGGATTACAGGCACACGCCACCACACCCGGCTAATTTTTTTTTTTTTTCAAGTGGAAATGGGGTTTCCCCACATTAGCCAGGCTAGTCTTCAACTCCTGACCTCAGGTGATCTGCCTGCCTCAGCCTCCCAAAGTGCTGGGATTACAGGCATGAGCCACCAGACCTGGCCAACTAAATCTCCTGTAGCATTTGCAAAAATCCATGATGGTAAAGATATTTTTATTAAGTATCTGATAAAAAATTTTTTTCACTCACTGCTTTTCTTAAATAGGGAGAATAGTATTTCTAGTATAATAACAGAATTCTTGTCACTTTGCTTTATATTACTAATCGTTATAAACATTTGTTCATCGTTACTGTGAAGAATAAGTTTAATTTTTTTAAAAGCCCAGAATTCCTGTATACCTTATTAACTGACTACCTGTTTTTGATGGGTGATGTCTGCCTGAATAAACTTGAATTATAATTAAACTCTTATACCCCTTGTTAATATTAGCCCACTCAGTATACAGACTGTTAAAAATTATGTCACATCTTACTTGACTCTGATTACCACCGTACATTTGTATTGGAATGGGTAGATGGTGTATCTTCAATTTCATATATTAAGAAATGGACAAGCAGAAATGAATGATTTGCACAAGCTCACCTGATTGGTGTTATGATTGCTTTCTCATTTGGCCTTATAGTTTGTCTCTGGAGAGTGGCTATAAATTCTAGTCCTGCTGTGTCGTGGCTCAAGAGGAGAAGCTCATGGATGTTTGCAGTGTGCCTTTCACAGGATACTTCTTTATCCTGGCACATCCATGACCAGGTATCCCTCTCTCAGGGAACTTGTTTATGGCATATGCCCTTATGACTCTTTTCTGACCTGTGTCCAGTTTATTCCTACTAAGATAGCCACTCTCTAGGAGACCCTGACTAGGAGGAGAGCAAGGTTTGGGTGTGTTGGTCATGTGACACACAGAGAAGGCAGTACAACCAAACACACGAAACGACAGAAGCTTTTTATTACTCACAGACCCTTGAGAGAAGAGGGGTACCCACGAGGGCCAGGAGGAAGTCTGAAGACAGCAGAGTGCTCAACCAGTGGGTGGGGCGGGAGGTGGGTGAACAGGGAGCAGCAGCAAGGGAGAGGTGATTTGTGTGACTACCTTCATGCAAGTCCATGGGTGTTCTTTGGCTTTCCAGTGGGGCCTGGGGATTGACTAGTTTAAAGAAAACAAGTGTGAACAGGGGAACATTTACACGACTCTGCTTTTACATGACTCTAATGTTGACCATTGGATTTTCTCGTGGTCAGCAGCTGTGGGGTATGTTGGGTTTTGAGTCAATGAGATGAGAAACAAGTATACTGTATTGCAGACAACCACACAGGGAGGGGGAAGTTTTAACTAGGCCAAAGGTGATGGGATACAACTAGGTTTCAAGCAACTTATGTCAGGCCTAAAAATAAATGCTGAAGCAGCAACTGTATAACACATTTATGACAAGTGGTGTTGAAGGTGAGAGTTAAAGCAGGGTCTTCTGCTTTTAGCTCCTTATTCTTTCTACCTGACTCTACTTTCTTTATACAATACTAGAAGAATCAAGGTCTAAAAACTAAATCTAGTGTGAAGGACCTGAGTTGCTTTCTTAGCCTTGATTTAGTTTGGATCTTACTGTTTAGAAAAAAGAAGAGCAATATTAATAGTATTCACAACTCTTGGTTATTTATGTTAATTATCCACTTATTGACAGCATTTAGTTGAGTTCATACTTTTGTATCAGGCACTGTGTTCATTGCTTTTCCTACGTATTGATTAATTTTTCAACACTGTTGTCTCCATTTTGCAGATGAGGAAACCAAAACGTAAAGTGAAATACCATGTTAAAGATTTCTCTGCTAGGGAGTAGTAGAGCTGGGATATAAACCAAGTGTTTCTGTCATCAGAACCTGTGCTCTACAGTGCTGATTTAATTTCCATCCTTAATTGGTTTGATTTGCTCTGTCTGGGGCATGTATACATTTGTTTGTTTTAAGTTAGGAAATAGGAATTGCTTTATTTTTACTTTTTTTTTTAATTTCAACTATTATTATAGATTAAAGGGTACAAGTGCAGGCTTGTTACATAGGTTTGTTGTATGATGCTGAGGTTTGGGGTACAAATGATCCCTTCACCCAGGTAGTGGGCATAGTACCCAATAGATGGTCTTTTAGCTCACACTCCCCTCCCTCCCTCCCCCGCCTGGTAGTCCCCAGTGTCTGTTGTTGTCATCTTTATGTCCATGAGTACCCAGTGTTTATTTCCCATTTATAAGTGAGAACATGCGGTTTTCTGTTCCTACATTAATTTATTTAGAATAATGGCCTCCAGCTGCATCCATGTTGCTGCAAAGGGTATGATTTCATTCATTTTTAGGGCTGTGTAGTATTCCATGGTGTATATGTACCATGTTTTCTTTATGCAGTCCACCGTCGAGGGGCACTTAGGTTGATTCCATGTCTTTGCTGTTGTGAATAGTGCTGCAGTGAACATGTGAGTGCATGTGTCTTTTTGATAGAATAATTTATTTTCTTTTGGGTATCAAATGGTAATTCCATTTTAAGTTTTTTGAGAAATCTCCCAAAAGTGGCTGAACTAGTTTACATTCTGGGGGATACATATCTTTGAATCAAATCAAAGTAATATGGCATATCATTTTGGAGTGTCAGTTTTTTTTTTTTTTTTTTTTTTGGAGACGGAGTCTGCTGGGTCACCCAGGCTGGAGTGCAGTGGGCCGTGAATCTGGCTCACTGCAAGCTCCACCTCCCGGTTCATGCCATTCTCCCCTCGCCTCAAGCTCCTGAAAGTACTGACACAGGCGCCCGCCACCCACGCCGGCTCCTAATTTTTGGTATTTTAAGTAGAGACAGTGGGTTTCACGTGTTAGCCAGGATGGTCTCCATCTCCTGATTTTGGTGATCCGCCCACCTCAGCCTCCAAAGTGCTGGGATTACAGGCGTTGAGCCACCGTGCCTGGCCGAGTGTCGGTTTTACCAAAAGATTGAGAGATAACAACATAAATAGATCTCAAATTCTTTCTGATAGAAATATAAAACTCAAGTCTTCACTCACTTCATTGTCACCCTGTGGCACTGAACTCTAATATTCAGTCATTGTTTTATGAACCCTGAGTTACTTTGGATCAGTCATAATTAGAAAAATAGTTCTTTATTTGTAGCAAAGACAGGTGAAAATTCAGAAATGCCTTTTAGGCCAAAAGTGAATTATTTTTAGATTATCAATATTGAAGAAATAGGAAGTGCTTGTTGGGTTTGTTTCATGGCCTACTCTAATGACAAAAAAATACTTACCCTAACTACAATTAACTTATTAAAAGTTTGAGATTCACATAACTAGGAAATACTGGATTTTAATGTAGATTTTGCACTTCTGGTCCTTAATGAGAACTTAATATGTTGAATAGCATATTTTTAACAGTGATTCTCAGCTCTTTTATTTCTATTATTGTATTGCTATTCTTTTTATCCTTTTTTCCAAAGATTCATGGAATTTAAATAAAAAGCAGATAAGTGAGAATTTAGTTAAGTAGCTTTGTATTTCTAACTATGAGGATGATTCAGTCTTAGCAGTAATTTAGTTTCTGCTATTAGAAATTTAGAAAGAGGGGAGAGGCAGTAGGGAATAAAAGATTTTATCTAAGTAATACTGTTTCTCACCTTTGGAGCTAATCTGGCCCAAAGTAGAAAACATCTTTTAAGAGAAGAAACTAAAAGTATTGAACCAGTAATAACTTAGTGATAGAACTGAAGAAATGGAAAAACTTGTTGTACCTTTATTTAATTTTGTTCTTATTTGTTTACATACACTTAGGTTTATTTACACTGTCCTGTATTTAAATTTACTATCAAAAAGTATTTCATAGAATGACCATTTGTGGAGTACTCGAATCAAACTGATGGTAGTATAATAAGGAAAATTTGTGTTCTTAATTGCCTATGATAAGCGATTGCTCTCCAAAGTAGTTATTTTAAATTTCCCTTAATTTTATGCTTGAGAGAAAACCAAATGTATTATATAAACTTCCTTATCTGATTTCAGGTGGATAAGCCAGTACAGAGGATTAAATAACTATAATCTTAAAATTTTTAGGTAAATGCATAGAAACTATTCATTAAGATTCAGTTTATTTTTGTCAGTTAAATTAATACTTTTGTCTTATATTTGGAGATGTGAAGATATACAGGAATAATGAAAAACAGTAACTTTAAACCTGCTACACTTAATTGCGATATAGTACCTATTCAATAATTCATCTCTCTTCTACATATGAAGCTTAAGTTTCACCTTTAAGCTTCTTTTATTCCACTTTGAAGTGTTTAAAGAATAATAATATAGCTTTGATAGATCTATTTTTATTTTCCCCTAGCAATATTTTCTTTGAATGTATATTTGTGGAATATAAGCTTAATAATAGACTTTTTTTCCTGTGGAAAATTTACTGTTTTATGGTTTTTGGTACTATGCTATAAGTGTAGCTGGTTTATTGGTTTGTTTAGTGAAATTTAATTAAAATTCCCCCTAAATTTGCACTGGATGAAGGGGTAACTTCAATGACAGGTGTCATATTACCCAAAACCAGTTCTGTATAACTGAACACATTGGAGAAATTTCAGAAAAATCTGGTTCAGTTGTAGTTTTGAATCTCGTTGACTTATTTAGGGCCTACTTTGTATTCATTTTTTATTATTTTTCAATTGGTAGTGTTAGTATATAAAATCCAACTTAATGAGCTCTAATTAAAGTAAATTTGTTTAAAAATAAGAGATCAAAAATAAATTTAACTTTCTGCCAGACATATGCTTTATAGGAGTTTATAGCAGTATAGTTTGAATCTGAAGAAAAGGACTAAACAGTTATTTATGAAGAGAAGAATAGATTCCTGTTAGGAAAACTAGTTCTAAGGCATATTGGAAAGCAGGAGTGATAGTTGAGGGTATATTAAAAAATAAATACAACTGATGAAAAGCCATTTTATAGGATATTTAAAAATATATGTTTAGTATTTTAGAATTTTAAAACTACTTTCACACATATACCTCATTTTTTTCAAATAAAGAAGAGAAAGTTGACAATATGCAAAGAGGTAGAAACTTGACCAAGGTCGTGTGGCTAATTACTGGCATGGTTGGCATTAGAATCTAGTTTTCTGAATGTTCTGTAAGCCCTCGGGGAAACCGGCTCCACCAAGAGTTACGGTCCCTGTTTTTCAGTGCAGAAACTGCTGATACCTTTTTCTTTTTGTGTAGACACAGCCATTACCACCTGACAGTAGTATTTGTGACTGGGGCTTGGTTGACAATGAGAAGGCACCATCAGCAATAGTGCATCTTCTGCACCATCAGCAAATCCTGTGGAATGCTGAAGGGTTGCATAACAGGGACTGGCCGAAGCAGTTGTAGGAAGCTTTTCTGTCTGTTGACTGGTGAGAACGGCCCTGATTAAGAGTAGTACAGACTTGGAAGGTTTGACAGACTAGGCTCTGCCGTGTGCTAGCTCTAATATAATTACTAACATTAGGCAAAGGACAGAATAGAATCATCATTCAGAGGCACTGTAAGATTATTTCACACTGGGGTTAAAAAAGCCAAGCACAAACAAGCCGATGGGATCACAAACCACTATTCTAGGCCAGGCTATTTAGTAATAGAGAACTTGTTAATTCAAAAGGCAGATCTAGTGTTACATAAGATGTCCAGCTATAGGTCATAAAGCACCTAGGAAACTTCACTGTGTCCTGGAGAAAATATAAACTTTTGCCTTTTTGTTGTTGTTTGTTGTTTAAACAGTCCTCTATTTGGGGAAACCTGTGGACAAGAAAAGCTTTAAAAGCCTGTTACCAAAATGGGGTAAAGAGTAAAACAAACACGAGGGAAATGTGTTTTGGTATGCTCGTATAGGACCTCAAATTGTATTTTATCATAGAAATAGCATTAAATGCAGATATTATTATCAATAATAACTACTTTTGTATATGCTTTATAATTTCCCAGGCACTTGCTATGCATCTGATGCTCAAGAAACTCTGAGGCAGATAGGGCAGGAATTACTGATTTCATTCATTTAGTAAATATTCATTGAGTATCAGGCACTATTCTCAATGTTTAGGATACGTTAAAGGACAAAGCTAAGAATCTCCTCTCCAATAGGGTTTATATTTTAGTGAGACAAGCAAGACATGAACAGTGATAATGAGTAAGTTCTATAGTATGTAGAAAGTGGTAAGTTATGGGAGAAGAAAAAGTAGTTAAAAGGGGAATCAATTGTCAAGAGGTGGAGGTGGGCATGTGGGAAAAGGCAATTTAAACAGATTAGATAATGAGAAGATTATAGTTGAGCCAACTTGTAGAAGGTGGGGCAGAGAACTATGGGAAGTCCAAGCAGAGAGCAGCCAGTACAGAGGTCCTAAGGCCTTTGAGTGCTTGGTGGGCTGAAGGAACAGCAAGGAGGCCAGTGAGTGTGCAGTAGGGTGGGATGCAGGGGAGAATGCCATAGAATCTCTGTTTAAAGACAAACTCAAATTCCCATAATTAAAAGACGTAGCCAAAGTCTGGTTAAGGTAGAACTTGAAACCACTTATATGACTCTAGATTAGTTGCTTCTGTGAATATTTTCCCTCATATTTCCAGAAAGGGAGGATTAAAAAAAATGACTGATTAATGACCTATATTATAATTTACACTTTATTTTTACTTGAGGGTCTTTATTACATCATTCTCAGCTAGTCTGAGTTTATTTTCACACACTGTTTTTACTAAAGGAGAAAATACAGCTTTGTCACACTGTGATTTCATTCTCTACTGTGTTTTAAGTTGTTAATTAAATTGAAACCTAAGCTTTAATTTTGCTTTCAGGGGTAACACAGTAATCATTTGACTTATTTAATACTAATTCAGAAGACCTTATTTTATATTTATCATATCATTGTATGTCCTCTAATCTTTCTTTTAAAGATACGGGTATAATGCAGGAGAAGCTACCCACAATGCGGTGGATTCTGCAGTCAATGTTGGCGTAACTGCCTACAATATTAACAACATTGGTATCAAAGCAATGGTGAAGAAAACTGCAACACAAACAGGACACACTCTCCTTGAGGACTATCAGATAGTTGATAATTCTCAGAGGGAAAATCAAGAAGGAGCAGCAAATGTCAACGTGAGAGGGGAGAAGGATGAGCAGACGAAGGAAGTAAAGGAGGCAAAGAAGAAAGATAAATGATGAAGTGCTGGGAATCACCTATACCAAAGCCTTATGAAATGGATGAAATTTTGTTATGTAAGCAAATGTGGAATTCCTCACAGATTAACCAGTATTTTTTAAATGTATTCATTCCTACAAATTAACTTTCATAAATTTTATGGCATGTCTTCTATTTAAAAGGAAAAGAATAAGTATTCTTGCGTCTGGCCTTAGAAATGTGAAGTAATATTCTCAAGTTTATTTTTTCCAAGTGTAGCTGAAATATTTTTGCAGGTAAAATAAAGCTAATAATACATGTGCTATTTAGACCTTATTAAACCTAATGTTGAACTATTTTTATATCTGCTATATTTCAGAAAGCAAATTAGGAAACTATATATTTGCTTAAAAATTGGCATTTAGTAACCTTAATTCTTTTTATAGAAGGCTTAAAGTATTGTCTCCTCTTTTTGCACTAAGTGTGGATTTTTTTAGATGCTTCTCAAAATTTTCAGTGTGTAAGCTAAACCTAATCCTAAACTAAGAATTCTCAGAAAGACTTGTTCAAAACGGAAAGACTGCTGAAAAGTAAATGGACTACTTTTGTAACTTACCTGTTTGTTAGGAAATGGAATGGTCTTTTTGATTTAAAATGAATAAAAATAGATGATTACATCTTTTGTATTGAGACCGATTGTTCTCTTATGAGCCTAGGACATTTGGGAACATGATTGTTTTGTATTAAAATTCAAAGTGATTATTATCAGCTTAATTGGATTAAAAAAGTACTTCAAGAAATTATTTTATCATATCTGCTTCTGTTTTTCCAAAAGGTTAAAACTTGTAAAATATATATATATATATATATAAACACAGAATTGAGTTAAATAATGGTAAACATTTTTATTCTGGGATTCGATCATTGGAATTTATATTAAAAGACAAGTTATTAAAAAGGAAAGGTTCGTTCATAATCAAGGTAAAGAATATGAAAACCTTAGGCGTAATCCATGGTGGATAGGCATTATGGTTTCCACTTTGGCAGGAGGCAGACTATTCACAGACCTGTTTACTTACATGGGCTAAAAAACTATGTAACTAAATACCTAATGGTATTTTATTTTTGTTTACTGAATTTAAGAGATTGGTGTTAGTTTTCATAGCTGTAGTCCATTCTAATAATTTCTGATCTTCTAGTGGCTACTTAGACATTATTTGAAGCTGTCTGAAGAATGCACTTTATGAATTAAAAAACTCTGAATTGCCTGACCTCATTATCACATGGGCTTATATTTTGGGAACACATGGAACTGATGTAGGCTTTTCCTAAGACCAAGGATAATGTACTAGTTGACAAAATGGAAATAAAAGTGAATTGGTAAATAGCTTACAGTCTATGCTTTAAGAAATAGAATGGCACTTCATATATTCTCATTTGTGGGAGCTAAAAATTACAATAATCGAACTTATGGAGATAGAGAGTAGAATGATGGTTATCAGAGGCTGGGAGGCATTGAAGGGATAGGAAGGGAAGTGAGGTTGATTAATGGGTATGAAAATACAGTTAGTTAGAACGAATTAGTTCTAGTGTTTGATAGCCTAACAGGGTGACTACAGTCAGCAATAACTTTTTATACATTTAAAAATAAAAGAGCGTAATTGGGACGTTTGTAACACAAATGAATGCTTGAAGCAGTAGATACACCCTGATGTAATTATTATGAATCATATACCTGTATCAAAATACCTCATGTATCCCATACATATATACACCTACCACGTACCCATAAAAATTAAAAATTTTAAAAAATTTAAAAAGAAATGGAATGGCAAATAATGGAATGTAAACTTTAAATAGTTAGCTTTGACCAGAGGTCAGCAAATATCCTCCATGGGCTAAATCCAGATGGCCACCTGTTTTCAAGCCTAACTTATTCACACTCTCTGGCCCTTTGCAGAAAAAGTGTGCTGTCTTAGACTCTAGAAAATGGACTTTTCCCACCATTCATTGAATCATTAGGAGATAGGCATCTTCTAAAGATTTTTTTATATTTTGTAATAATTGATACATAGATAAAATTGTATATTACATGTAAGGTATGATGAGTAACAGAATTAATACTTAAAAACTCATCACACCTAACTAAAGACACGGAAAGCTGCCAATTACATATATGTATGTTCTTCCTATTTTCTTACCTCTTTCCCCACATCATTTTTTATTGTTCCTTGCCCTTTTTTAATCACACATGTATATTCTTCAAACATACTGTTTCATTTTTTGAAGCTTTCTACATATAGTGTCTGAATGTGAAGTCTTACTCGCTTTTTTGAGTTTATGTTTAAAATTCTTGTGCTTATATGCATGGATGGTTTAGTTGCTCTGTAGTATTCTGTTTGAGTATACCACATCAAGTGTTCATTTTCCTATCAGTTGACATTTGTTTTTAGTTTTTGTTGGTAGAAACAGTACACTCAAAAAATACTTGACTGTCCCCTGGTACACATATGCAAGAGACTTTATACATAAGAATGGAGTTGTTGGCTTGTCAATTTTGCAAAATAATGCCAGGTATTTTCCAAAATGATGATATTCTCTTGAGTAGTACTTCCGGAACTTTGCAATGTTTTATTGTTAATGTAGCATATATAAAAAAGTATCTCATAATTTTAACTTGTGTTCTCCTGACCTCCTTTCTTGGCCTTAGATCAGGAATTTTTCATGTTCATTTGCCATTCATTTCCCTCTACTGTAAAATTTGCCTATTGTCACTGCTGACAATTTTGCTTTTCATGTTTAGGTGTTTACTGAGATTTGTGTGTATGTGTGCAAGATGTAAGGTATCTAATTCCTCCCCTCCTCCTCCGCCCCGTGCATAATCAGTTATTTAACCCCCGTTTATTGAATAGTTCTTTTCTTCAGTAATTTCCCACAGGTCTTTCTCTATATATCAAGTATGAGTGTTTCTGGGCTCAGAGACGTTTGTTCCATCTGTCATTTCTTTTTTTCCTGGGCCAGTCCCACACTGTCGTCATTATAAATTAGTAAGTCCTACTGATTGTTAGGGCAAGAGGCTCAATTCCCTAAACCAAATTCTTTAAGGGTATTTTGGCTGATAGTTCCATAAGGAGTTTAAAATCTTCCCACAAAGAAACATCAGCCCCAGATGGACTTACAGGTGAGTTCTAACATACCTTAAGAAAACAATGTTACATTGGGTGCAGAGGCGCACACCTGTAGTCCCAACGGAGGCTGAGGTTGGGTGATCTCTCGAGTCCAGGAGTTTGAGACCAGCCTGGGCAACATAACGAGACCAAAGATATTGTTGGACATTGTGAATTTTACCTTATTGGGTACTGGATGTTTTGTGTTCCTATAAATATTCTTGAGCTTTGTCTTGGGAAGGGATTACGTTACTTAGAACCAGTTGGATACTTTTGGATCTTTCTTCTAAACTTGTTAGGGCTAGTGGCTAGTGTTTTTTTCCACTCCTAAAGTAAAATCCTCTGTGTACCTGATGCCCTCTGAATTCAGAGGTTTTCCATTCTGGTGGGTGGTAGCAGGTATTATTCCTACCTCTGTAAACTGTAAGGATTTCCCCACTAATCCTTTGTGATGGTTCTTTCCCCAGCCTGAGTACTTGCCCCACCATGTGTGTGCATTCATCAGGACTCTGTTGCAGAGTGTACCCTGTGGCAGGCCAGGTCTCAACACAGGCCCCCATAACAACTGTTTCAGTACTGAGTGAGTGGCTAAGTTAAATGCTAAAAGATAAAAAAGCCAAGGCCCTTATACAAAGGCTGGAATGTAACAAAAGCCCACCAACAATTTTGCCCAGGCCTTTACTGGGCCTTAAAGCATGACCAAAAAAATGAAGGAATTCTTAGCTGGACCCATTTAGGATTAAACAAGTTTATTGGGGTTCTGAAGGAATCACCAAACCTCCCTGATTTAGCAGGAGACAAGGGTAATCACCCTAGCACCTGGACCCATTTAGATGAAGTGAATTTACTGAGGCTGCAGAGGAAGGTCTTCAGGACTCAAGACCTTAGTTGTAGATTATAAGAAATTAACCACTTATGTCTTTAGATGAATGCACACTTACACATAGACATATAGCTTAGAAGGTATTATAAGCTCTGGAAAATTTTGTAATTTTGAGTTGGTCTGGTGATCATTTCCAGGCCTTCTCCCTGTAACTGGTTCCAGAAATAAAAACTCTTCCTCCCCGGTTCATCTACATCTTGTTACTGGGTCACAAGAAATAGCAGCCCAACCCTCAGTTTGGTCTGGGAACACCGTGCGCAGCTCTTCCTTCCAATGTCTGCCCTGCAAAGTCTAGCTGCCTTGTTCTCCCTAGACTCTTAGAGAAACTCTGTTTCCTCAACTTAGGGCAACCACCAGCCTCTGCCTGTTTTCTCCTTTTCTGCTTTGTACCCTGGCAGGCCCAGGCCAATTTGGGAGCTTGCCTCATTTGTGTCTCATCAAGAGATCATTGTCCCTTACTGCCTGATGTTCAATGTCTTGAAAAACCATTGTTTCTTTTTTTGTTCCTCTTAGTTTTTTAGTTGTTTCAAGCAGGAGGTAAATTCCGTTGCTTTATTTCTGCCAGAAACACAAACCTGTTTTCTGCTTGCCTTTGCTCTTAATTTCCCACAGTGAGATTCTGCTAACAGATCTTTTTAAGAAATCCTCGGCTGGGTGCAGTGGCTCACGCCTGTAATCCCAGCACTTTGGGAGGCAGAAGCGGGTGGATCACGAGGTCAGGAGTTCAAGACCAGTCTGCGCAATATGGTGAAACCCCTGTCTCTACTAAAAATACACAAAAAAATTTAGCTGGGCATGGTGGTGCGTGCCTGTAGCCCCAGCTACTTTGGGAGGCTGAGGCAGGAGAATCGCTTTAACACGGGAGGCGGAGGTTGCAGTAAACTGCGATTGTGCAGTTGCACTCCAGCCTGGGAGACAGTGAGACTCCATCTCAAAAAAGAAATCCTCTGTACATTTGGATTTGTCAACAGATAATCTAGTCCTTTTCACTTCATTCTATTCTGTTTACTTGGTTGTGAGTTGCCCTTTCACACTTACAGCTAGACAAAATTTTGATAAGCATACCTCCTATATTAGGGTAATTCACAGAAACAGAACTAATAGGGAGTGTGTGTATAAAAGATTTATTATAAGGAATTTGCCCATACAATTATGAAGGCTAAGAAGTCTCAGGATCTGCAGTTGACAAGCTGGAGAAGCAGGCAAACTGATGTGTAGTCCCAGTCTGAGCCCAAGGCTGGAAAAGTGTTGCCCAAGGCTGGAAAAGTGTTCCAACTCAAGCTGTTTGGCTGTAGGAGCTCCCTGTTACTCCTGGGAGGTCAGCCTTTTTGTTCTATTCCGTCTTCAGTCGATTGGCTGAGGCCCACCCACAATGGAGAAGACAATGTACTATACTCAGTCTCCCAATTGAAATGTTAATCTCATCCAGAAACTCAATTGGAAAACTATTTATGTATTCACAACACGTCTGACACCAAATTGTGTTTTCCACACCAATCAATTATCCCAGTCTCACTAAAACCTTGGTCTCCACAACGCCTTTATTTTCTAAAGACATTCCTAAGTCTTTAGTAAATAACTTTTCAACCAATTGCCAATCAGGAAATCTTTGAATCTAGCTGTGACCTGGAAGCCGCCCCCTGTCCCCCATCCCTTCCAATTGCCCTGCCTTTCTGGATGGAACCAGTGTATATCTTAACATGTATTTGATTGATGTCCCATGTCTCCCTAAAATGTATAAAACTAAGCTGTACCCTGACCACCTTGGGCACGTGTTCTTAGGATCTCCTGAGAGCTGTCACCAGCCATTGGTCACTCATTTGGCTTAGAATAAATCTCTTCAAATATTTTACAGAGTTTGTCTGTTTTTGTCAAGGAAACACAGATGTATCAAGGGCAGGAGGTGAACTTTGTGATTAAAAATATAATGAGGACGGGCGCAGTGGCTCACGCCTGTAATCCCAGCACTTTGGGAGGCCGAGGCGGATGGATCACAAGGTTAGGAGATCGAGACCATCCTGGCTAACTCGGTGAAACCCCGTCTCTACTAAAAATACAAAAAAATTAGCCGGGCGTGGTGGCAGGCGCCTGTAGTCCCGGCTACTCGGGAGGCTGAGGCAGGAGAATGGTGTGAACCGGCGAGGCGGAGGTTGCAGTGAGCCGAGATTGTGTCACTGCACTCCAGCCTGGGAGACAGAGCGAGACTCCGTCTCAAAAAAAAAAAAAGAAATGTAGATCAGGCCTCTGAGCCCAAGCCAAGCTATCGCATCCCCTATGACCTGCACATATACGCCTGTGACTTGCATGTCCGCATCCCCTGTGACTTACATTTATACGCCCAGATGGCCTGAAGTAACTGAAGAACCACAAAAGAAGGGAAAATGCCCTGCCCCGCCTTAACTGATGACATTCTACCACAAAAGAAGTGAAAATGGCTAGTCATTGCCTTAAGCGATGACATTATCTTGCGAAATTCCTTTTCCTGGCTCATCCTGGCTCAAAAAGCTCCCCCACTGAGCACCTTGTGACTCCCACTCCTACCCGCCAGAGAACAACCTCCCTTTGACTGTAATTTTCCTTTACTTACCCAAATCCTATAAAACGGCCCCACCCTTATCTCCCTTGGCTGACTCCTTTTTCGGACTCAGCCGCCTGCACCCAGGTGAAATAAACAGCCATGTTGCTCACCCAAAGCCTGTTTGGTGGTCTCTTCACATGGAGGCGCATGACTATATATAGAGAGAGAGAGAGAGAGAGAAATTTCAAGTTGCAGTGAGCAGCTCTGAGGTATGTTCATGAACGGCACACAGATGCAAAATAATAATCTGGAGGGTTAGCAGTCTTCCCGAGTTCAGGAGGTACCTTTTTAAGGCCAGTTCCTCTCGCTCCAACACTGCCAAATCAGAGACTCTGGTGCTTGTTCAACTGAAGCAAAGAAGGGCGCAGCTACTCTTGGATCCAGCATTTTCCTAACAAGGGCTAAGAGTGAAGCCGACTTTGCCACCCAGGTCTATGTTTAGGAAAGCAACCAGCAGGAGGGAAGAAAAAGGTGAGGGATATTCTCGGCCTCCTGACACTCCTCTGTGTAGTCGTAACAATCTAACCCCAGAGTCTTGCGCAAGGAGTGTCCCTCGAGCTGTTCTCCAGGGTCGCTCCACCGGACAGCGCAGGTTTCTCTTTCAGTCTTCCCGGCAGCCCTCGCCCCGCCCCCTGCCTCCTACGGGCATCGCTTTATGACGTCACCACCTGCCTCTGCAGGCACGCGCGGGAGGTGGGACCCGGAGGCGGTTCGGGTGCCCCGCCTCGTGCCTTACTCTCCTTGCTCGCCTCTGGGTGGCCTTTAATGTCTTGTGTTCTAAGGTGTGCTGAGGGGAAAGACGCGGGAGGTCTCTAGCCTGACACTATGGAGGAAGAGAAAAGCTACAATTTCGACGGTGTGAGCACCAACCGCCTGAAACAGCAGTTGCTGGAAGAAATCCGCAAGAAGTGAGTCGGGGGGCGGCGCGGTGTAGAGTCTGGTCCACGCCCCCCGAGCCTTCACCTGCGGCGTCTCAGGGCCAAAGCCGCTGAGGATGCTGGGAGACCGGCCCCGGGATTAACCCCTGGGCACTTCGGTCGACCTGCCCGAGTGTTCCATGCCAAAGATTCATGTGCCTCTGTGACTAAGCCTTTGGTATTGTAAGTAGGCAGCTTTCGAGGTAGGATGTTCTGCCCTTAGGATCCAAGCATACGGCGTGTGTTTTGCCTATATACTGTAATGCCAAAAGTTGTGTTTGGTTTTGTTGTCTCCATAAATCCAGTTTTTTTGTTTAAAATTCCAAAGATTTTATTTAGTTATGCGGGTTTGCTTTTTTTCTTTCATCCCTTTAGGGGGAACTTCATAAAATGGCATTTAGTAAAACTGTTACTCCTTTATGCTTTTTAAAAACAGTATTCGTACTTGGTGTTAAATTTTTGAAACATTTATTTTTTTGAACATACTCCCAACTCCATCCACAAGTCCCGTGAGAATTGGACTCTCCTTTGTGCCTAGATAGCGTTCTGGGTTTTCCTCTATTGTAGCTCCAATCACAGTTTTTTAATTGCTTGTGTATTTCTTGTCTTGCTACCAAACTACACGCATTCTGAGGACAGGTTCTGTGTATTCTGAGGAAGTAGAGAATAAGAGCAAGTACTTGAGGAGAGTCCTGAATGAATGCAAACCCCACCTGTCACTCAGTAATTATGCAATCTTAGACAAGTTAATTAACCTCTTTAATCCTCAGTTTTCTCCACTCTAAGACGGGTATACAAATAGTCATCATCATACTCCTGCAGTTGTTCCCAGGTTGGAATGAAATGCACTATAAAGCACTCAGCATTGGCATATAATACGCATCCAGTGGAACTTTGCTGCCGCTATTGCTATTTTTCTGTTCACTGTTCACTGAATTCTTCCGTGTTTAATACAATGCCTTGAACATAATAGCACTCAAAACTATTTATTGAATAAATGGTCCTGTCATATGATAATGTTCTATTTATTGATGTCCTAAATAGCTTAACCTTTTAAATTAGTGTTTCTTTTTTTCCCTTTGTTTCAGTTTGTCAGCTATTGTGTATTGCCCTAGGTATGCCTTTCTGTAATAATGTGCAGTGCCTAATTTGCTTGGTTCTGAAAAACCAGATAGCTAACTTCTTTGGGATGATATTTAAGTTAAAGAATTTCCGAGGGCGGGGCGTGCTGGCTCATGCCTGTAATCCCAGCACTTTGAGAGGCCGAGGCTGGGCGGATGACAAGATCAGGAGTTCAAGACCAGTCTGGTCAGTATGGTGAAACCCCGTCTCTACTAAAAATACAAAAAAAATTAGCCAGTCTTGGTGGCGCATGCCTGTAATCCCAGCTACTCAGGAGGCTGAGGCAGGAGAATTGCTTGAACCCAGGAGGCGGAGGTTGCAGTGAGCCGAGATTGCACCACTGCACTCCAGCCTGGGCGACAGAGTGAGACTTTGTCTCATAAATAAATAAATAAAGGATTTCCAGTGGTTGCCTGGGGGTCTTTGAGCTTTAGTGCCTATTTGAGTCCTAGAACTGACTAATTGGAAGCCTTCCTTTACCTGAGTCTTGTTTCTTAACCAGTCCTTCAGTAAATGATGTGTCATAGTAAATTGTTCCTGAAGTAGTAGTGGGTTACTATGTATTATTTTTCTGATGTTATTTTAAATTGAATTATAATCAACAAAAACATTTTAAATAACAGGGATGCAGTGCAACTCTCAATATTTGAACTAAGACACAAGATTACAGAACTGGAAGCCAAACTGAATACTGACAATGAAGGTATATAAGTAAATACTTACATTTGTAACTCCTGTATAATTATTGTTCATTTTACCAGGATTAAATTTCATATATTGAATAATAGTACCAAGGTTTCAGTATTGCTTTTTGGCCACATTAATAATAGTTTATGATAGAGGCTTTAAAATTGATACTTCAGAATATCAAACCTATTACTATTTAATTATTTTTCTACCTTTCAAGTTCAAAATGTTCATTAATTAGCAAAACCTTTGTTACGTGACATCAATATATTATTTCTTTATTAAATAAATATCACCAGTTTTCTATTCACCTCAAGTTATACTCTTTGTATCCTAACTTCTAGATTTGAGATATGTTTAAAATCTGTATCTAGGTTTTGGCTATTGTTGGAAGCCTGTTGTTTGGTATGGAGGATGTTGTGTACATACACACTCATGTATCCGTAAAATTTGTAATGTATGCAAGATATGACCCTGCCATATGTAAACACTTTAAATGGAAGACCTTTGTTTTCCCTGTTCTAAAGAGGTTCATTGACTATTGGGAGAAAGGATCAAACCAGAATATGGATATGAAAAGTCATATGAATTCTATGTGAGGATAAATGAAAACGTAGGGAAGAGAAACCTAACAGAATTTGGGTGAGGTAATAAAGACAGGCTTTCCAGAACAGGCAGTGCTTGAACTGAATGCTAAAGAACAGGAGGAGTTTATTAGGGTTATCAGGGTGGGCATTTATACTCTTCCTCAACTGGGGAGCCATGAACAAAAAGGATTAGTGGCCATATGGGAAATAAAATGCCACTTTCTATAAGTACCCAATGCTTTGTTAAAGCTTGGTTGCAGAATACTGCTTTGTCCCAAGGCTGAAGTAGCTTCCTCTATCTCCATATCTGTATCTTAGATATAATTGAGTCTCTGGAGGCAGGCTCTAAGTGTACTTATCAAATACTTGCATTGGCAGGATAGCTGGAACTTCTTCATGTACCCAGTTACAGGAAAAAAACAGAAAGCATGCTTACAGGTACACATGCAGTAACTATGCCCACTAGTAAAATGTGGCTCCACAAGTTGTACCAGTTCTCAAAAGAAGGAGCTAGTATGTGGGTATAAAGAGAAAAGGTCAGAATCATAGGAGAGAAAGTTCTTTCCTCCGTAGGCCAAAAGTAAGGCCTAAGGTGAAGGGCAGAAATATTTATTCCTTTAAAGCCAGGGACTGTGTCAGGTGAGGTAGTTACTATTATTCCCATTTATGGAAGAATGAAATTCAGGAATTCAAATAACTTCTAAGGTCATATAGCCAGGGAGTGGTTGAGCCATGACTTGATCCTAGATCATGTATTTGCCATGCCTTCAGTAAATGATAATACAACTGCTATTACCACATCACACTCAAAACAGTTCTGCTTGTCTGTTGCTACATAGCAAACCACCCTATAATTTAGGAGCTTAAAGCAACAAACTCTCTCTTACAATTCTGTGGATTATCTGGGTTGGTTCACCTGATGGTTCTTGACTGGGGTCTCTTGTTCGGTTGCAGTCAGGTATACTGAAGATTCAAGTGAACGGTCATTCCATGATGACTCATTCACTTGGCTAACATCTGACACTGGCTTTTGACTGGAAGCCCATCTAGGGCTGCCTGTCAGAAATGCCTCTTGTACCGTTTTCTTCCACAGCATGGCGGTTAGGTTAGGATGTATCCCAAGAGCAAGCATTCCAAAAGACGTAAGTAGAGACTGCCAGGCCAGTCAAGGGCTACTCCCAGAACTGGCACAGGTGTATATCCACTGTATTTTATTGGTCATAATAGTCACAGATTCAAGGGACTGGAGAGGTAGACTGCTTTAAGGTCACATTACAGAGCAGCACATGGGATGGGATACGTTATTGCAGTCACCTTTGGAAAATACAGTCTGCCACAGGAGCATTAAACATAAAGCCATTTGGGGAATATGCTAAGTAATTAATAAAAGTGGAACATAGGTCATAATGAGAATGTGGTAAAAGATGAGATTAAAGTTTACGAAGGAGATGAATCAAGAAGACTGCATGATGCTAATGAATTTACATTTATCCTGAAGGCAGTGGGGCAATATTAAAGGTGTTTTAAAATGGATTTATTATTGGAAAAAGGTGCACATGTGACAAATATGGGTACATTCACTGTTCAGATAATTTTTTCACCCTTTCTGCTTTCTTCTCAAACCTCTACCACCTCTCTACTCATCACACTCTTAGGTAATGAGCTTACCCTCCTCTTTCAAAGAAAAAAGAGAAGCTATCAGAAGAGGACTTCTGCATGTTTCTACCAGCAGAGCTGCCCATCTACCTGCACCCTTGCACGTCCTCTTCCCTCTTGTTTTATGAATTGTCTGTCCTTGTTCTTGTCTCAGGTTATCTCCTCCCTTTGTGCAGTAGATCCTACCTACTCTTACCTAGTCAAGGATATCACTCTAGTGATGGCCCTCTCTTCCCTACACTGTTTTCCCTGCTCTACTGGATCATTCCCAACAGCAGACCAACGTGCTGAATTTATTTTATCTAAACAACAAATGATAGGCTTCTTTTGGTCCCAGTTTTCCCCTTCAGCTAGCATCCCCTGTCCCTGCCCTATTTATAGCAAAAACCTTCGAAAGAGTAGTTTTTATTTCTACTTTCTCATCTGCTTATTGTTTTATCTTGCTTGTCACTGGATTAATTTTTAGGTAAAACTCTAAAGAGCTTTATATTCTCAGTCACCTCTTGAAGCCTTTTAGGGTTCATAGGAAACTATGTGTAGAAAATTTGGTTTTATGTTTTAATTTGAATTTTACAACAAAGTTTAGTAATAAGAAAATGGTAAAGAAATGTTCAGGTGACTTTTTTTTTTTTTAAGTGAGAAGAATTAGTATTTGTGTAGAGCTTTAAGTACGTTTTTAAAAAAAAATTGAAACCTCACAACTACCCTTTGAAAATAGTATCATTACCTCCATTTTATAGATTGAAAAATGGAGGCCGGGCACGGCAGCTCACACCTGTAATCCCAGCACTTTGGGAGCCGAGGCAGGCGGATCACCTGAGGTCAGGAGTTCGAGACCAGCCTGGCCAACTTGGTGAAACCGTGTCTGTACTAAAAATAACAAAAGAAAAATTAGCCGCGTGTGGTGGTGGGTGCCTGTAATCCCAGCTACTCTGGAGGCTGAGGCAGGAGAATCGCTTGAACTGGGAGTTGGAGGTTGCAGTGAGCGAAGATTGCACCATTGCACTCCAGCCTGGATGACAAGAATGAGACTCCATCCAAAAAAAAAAAAAAGGAGACTTATTGACAGCACACAAGGTTACATCTTCATCCTGGATTTCTCCGTTGAGTCTTTTATAGGCTGGTTTCTATTCCCAAATGCCTTTAGCTAGTGGGTAATGTATTAATAGATCCAATATATTTTTTTAAAATCACCTCAGTAAATGCTAAAATTTTAAAAATAAAATTCCATTTGTCTTTCTTTTTTTTTTTTTTTTGAGACGGAGTCTCGCTCTGTCTCCCAGGCTGGAGTGCAGTGGCTGGATCTCAGCTCACTGCAAGCTCCGCCTCCCGGGTTCACGCCATTCTCCTGCCTCAACCTCCCGAGTAGCTGGGACTACAGGCGCCTGCCACCTCGCCCGGCTAGTTTTTTAGATTTTTTTAGTAGAGACGGGGTTTCACCGTGGTAGCCAGTGGCCGGGCGTGGTGGCTCAAGCCTGTAATCCCAGCACTTTGGGAGGCCGAGACGGGGGGATCACGAGGTCAGGAGATCGAGACCATTTGTTTTTCTTATTTCAAAACAAGGAAAAGAATACTTCTATTTATCTCAAACTAGCGTAATACTTAACAATGAAATAGCAGAGGCATTTCCATTCTTGGGGAAAAAAATACCAAAACTGCCTGCTCCATTATTAAAATGCAATATAGTTTTGAAAGTTCCAATTAAGCAATACAATATGATATAGAAATAAAGAGTTATAGCTATTAGAGAGGAAGTTATACAATTATTATAAAGATTAGCATATTAATAAAGAACTAGAAAATGGTTGGATACAATAATGAAATAAATGTTTATTTTAAAAACCAAATGCCAGCAATAACCAGTTAGAAAATAGGGTTTTTAAATGATCCCACCCACAACTCCAACCCAAACCATAAAAGATCTGGCAATATTCCTGTCAAGAAATATGAGGACCTATATGAAGAGATAACAGAAGACTGTAACTATAAGGGAGTAACAGTTCAGTCCAAATTCTTACTTATTTAACATAAGAGATATCATACAGGAAACTCCAGAATAAAATGAATTTGGGAAAGCTTTGCAGCATTAACACTAGTTTGCTGACCTTCTGAGAGTCTTTGTTAGTAAGTGAAACAGGTAACAGTGTGTATCTTATTGCTACAGAGTCTGTCAGTCTTAGGTGATCTCTCTTTTAATGTTAATGCTGGTCATTTGTGCCTAAACTCCAAAGTGGGGGAAGGTATAGTGTGGCGTGTCCAACCCTCCACTTCTCATAATGGCCTGAACTAGTTTTTCAGGTTTCTTTGAGATTCCCTTTGGCCAAGAGGTGGATACATTCCCTCTGTTGGGTGCGGGGGCTTAGGATTTTTTTTTTTTTTAGTTTATATTCCCCCTTTTTTGTTCAAGGTATGCAGAGGCAGTATCCATAGCTAAGCTTTTATTAGCTTAAGTTCTGGGGTGGTGTGACTACTTGCCCCTGGTCCCTCATGCTTCTCAGTGGGACCCCTATTGCCAAGGAACTTAGAGTCAAAGACTTACATCCAATTAAACGTTTTAGGCTAGATAGGAGTGGAGGTGAGCAGGTATTCAGTAATCTTTAAAACCCCTTTTAGGTAACATAAGAGCCAAAAACCAAAAGCCAAAAAATAAGGTTATAAAGTTGAGTTATCTATAAATTTTCTGCATTGAGATACTGTAATCTTGACTTGTAGCAATTAGCTATATATATACACAAGCATTTTGTTCAGCTGTTTAGGCATCTGTGTGTCTGTC